GATGCTGGATGACCTTGGGGACAGAAGAGGATACTGTCATTTGAAGGAGAAAGCTCTAGATCGCATTAAGTGGAGGAATTGTTTTGGAAGAGACTGTGGACCTGTCGTCTTGACAGATTACTGATGATGATGATGATGATGATGATGATGATTTGCAAGTAATTTTAAAGCATTTCATCTTAATGTATGCTCTGAAGATCACCCATATGAGCCAAGACATATAAAGGCAGTAAAATAAATTACCTCGTACTTGTTACACTGGACAACACTCTTATTAAGATGAGAGCAACAGTTAAATTGCGACACATCAAAATAGTGTTATAACATATTCTCTTAAGGTACAGAACGCTTTAATTGTATATTCCAATTTAATATGTATCAATTAATGGTTATTTAATAAAACATTTCTTGACACATAAGAAGTGCGATGGTGAAATGAATCCATATTAAATTATTGTGTGGAGACAATGTTACTCTTTAAACCGGATTCATACAAATTTAGGTCACGTGATACTGAAGAGCAGCGTAATTATTGAACTAAGACATTTCGTGTTACTATTCAGAAGTTTCAACTTGAGCAAAGTGAAGATATTTCATGATGCCGGATAACCAACGTGATGTAACATTTTGGAAACTCGTTTTGCAGAAAATAAAATAAACTTTTTTATAGATTTTGCTAAAAGCCATTGCGAGAATAAACAACGAGCCTAGAAAAGAATTTCTGATGCCTACTTTATTATTATATAAATGTTTCCATCTACAGAACTTACGGAGAGTACCAGATATATTATAAATTAACGATTATAAAACTTTATGTCCTACTTCTATGTGTAGGGAGCTGGGATAGCGCAGTCGGTATAGCGACTGGCTACAAGGTTGACAACCGAGGGGTCGGAGTTCGATTCCCGGTAGGATAAAATATATTCTCTTCTCCAATTCATCCAGACCGGCTCTGGGGCCCACCCAATCTCATATCCAATGGGTACCGGGGGTTCTTTCCCCGAGGGTCGGAGCGTGAAGCTGACCACTCACCTCAAACTAGTGCCGAGGTCAAAAAAATGTGGCTCTATACATTCACTCCCCCAAGCGCCTTCATGGCGTAATGCTTAATTAATTACTTTTGTACGTAATTTTCACTAGTATATTTGAAAGCTGTCAAGCATAAATTTTCGCAAAACTCGAACTTTTCTTTCAGTTTATTAGGGAGATGAAACCAATTTTAATGGGGAAATCTGAAAGGAAGAGTCTACTTGGGATATAGAGACGTAGATAGGTGGACAATATTTAACTGAATATCTGGGCAATATGTGTGAGGCAACTGACTTGATTAACTGACTCTGATGAGGGCCCAGTAGCGAAATATTGTGAACACGGTAATGAAATTGTGGCTTTCATACAAGGCGGGAAAATTCTTAAACAACCAAGCGACTATCAGCTTTTCGTTGAGTGCTGTGATCTATGGAGTTGGTCTCAGAAAATTTGAAAACAAGTGTCTTGTATAAGTTAATTCAGGCTCCTATATACGCCTTGGATACGCCTTGGTTTAATTCATTATACTTCACGAATGACCTGCTGAAATGTAATGCTTCGGATCCAATTCTATCATTACATGGCATTACATACGTTATAAATGGTTATCAACCCATCCAGTGTGACTGATAAAATGTTTTTCCTTTCTCTCCTTTTTAATCTTTCATCCTTGACATGTTGCGGTCTGAGAGGCCATCTTCAGAGGATATATCAATGCAAGCGGAAACTACTATTACAATGTCATTGGTCAACATCAATACATAGATACAGTATCATCATAATGCCATGAATATACAATCTGATTCTTTAACAACTACAGTGATATGCATGAATATATTAAAATATTTATAAATTATTATAATTAGTCTGTTTACAAGTGTGGTTTAAAAAAACTTTGTTAAAATTTAGAACCAATTTGGTTAGTGTCCGTTATACTGCCAAATTATTTTTAAATTATTTGGAGTGCGTAATTCAATGAGGCTGTTGTAGCTCCTGTGTTAAAATTCGTTACCAGGAAACGGCTAATGGAGACTGTAATAGACTGAGAATACTAGTCTGTATGAGTCAGTGATCTGCAAAGTGTAATCACGAGTCGTGAGTTTGTAAGCGGTCAATAAATCGATTTACCAATTAGAACCCCGTCTATAGTCACGTGATATATATATATATATATAGTTCAACGAACTTCATGGTTGAATGGCTAATATTCTTGTTTCGTATTTGGGACTTCCAGAATTCGATTCTGGGGTCAGAGGCAGACAAATCTGACGTAGGTGCTTCATGGCTTTCAAAGTCGCTCCAAGCAAATGTTGGGATTCAGGGAGCTCCTCAATTATCCTCACGAGGCTGAGTGAACCCCGTTCCAGAGCCACTATTTCTCAGAAAATCTGGTAGCGCCGAGAATCGAAAAAGGGACCTCTGGATCTTTAGCCAGGACTCTGACCACTCGACCACAGAGGCGGTTTTATAATTATAAATTTAAATGGCTTTCCTATGAACTTTTGAATGTTAGTCAACTTCTAAATAACCAAGAAGTTCACAATGATACAGTCTACGACTGAAAAATATCCTCTCAGGAATGTACAGCCTAATCCACATTTTAATACTGAGCATGAGGGAAGAGAACTCCGATTTACATGCTTTCGCGTTACGTCGCCTTTTCGGGGAACATAAGAGCGCCGTGTGAAATCGGTATATTCCTGTACTGAGTTGAATTGTAGCAGTAAACATATTTTCAAGCACAGACTGAATTATTTATAATTAAATCTCAAAACCGGTTATGTTATTTTTTTTTCCTTGGCACTACAGCCCCAGTGGGCCTAGGACTACCTCCATGAACTTCTCCGTTCACTTCGGTTTTTTCTAGATCTTACATATTCGGTAGGACTCCTTGGGCGGGTGATCAGCTCGTTGCAAGGCCTCTAACTGTACACAAATACAGAAAAACGCACACACACAAACTAAACATCCATGCCCTGATTGGGATTCGAACCCACGATCCCGATTTCCAAGCGAGCGAAGACAGTTGATGCCTTAGACCGCCTGGCTACCGTGACCGGTGGTTAAGTTATGTAGTGATCCCGAATTCAACCTCTTGACAGGGCAGATTTGAAATTCTGAAATGATGAATCCAAACCGAGGGAGCATTTTGTACGGGACTGGCCTATTCGCTTTCATTACCAACTTCACGCCGTGACTGTGAAACAAGAATGACCTTGGTGTTGTCATGGCATATCAGAATAAGATAACTTAGTACAACGACTAACAAGCAAAGTGAGAGATAGGAGAAAGCGACAGACCGTAATAGCGCATTGGTCAACAACCTTTCGGAACCCACCCTGAAGTATCGGCATTCTTGTGAAACAGAAATGAGTCCATTGATGTTGAAGTGAACAATTGATGTGTAAAGAGGAGAACCGTGTCACGGAGTGACGTAAACAGACTACAGATGTTCATAAACCAGTCTTCATATCCCCTATTAAAAATTGTATTAGTGTAAAATTGACTGCCTCTATGATCTAGTGGTCAGGGTTCGATTCCCGGCTCTACCAGATTTTCTGAGAAGTAGTGGGCCTGGAACGGGATCCACTCAGGCTCGTGATGATAATTGAGGAGCTATTTCAAGGAAATAGCGACTCCGGTATAGAAAACAGAAATTAACTGCGCTGACCACGCGACATCGTCTATCCGCAAAAGTTGGCACTAAACTTCGCCGACAAGCGGCGGTCGCTCGGTCGGTATAGGTTGCTTGCGGACTAAAATCACGGAGTTTATTTTGTTTTTTATCAGTGTAAAATTATTAATTTCTGGATATTATCGGTCATCCTGTTTTTTTTTTTGAGACAGAGTCCAGCCTCCAAAACCTTATTTGTATTAATGTAAAAAGTAAAGCTATCCCTGTAACAGGCCGTGAAGGCCCATAGGGTTGTGAAACGTTGCGGTTCCCACATTATCTAGACAGTCGGCTCAAAGATGGCGGTAAGGTTGTCAGCCTTACGCGCCGGCCGCGCTTTACTTCCCAGGAAAATTATTTAATTAATTCCTGGTACTCATTTCTGTTAGAGGCTGAGTGAACTCCAGGGCCATAGTGCGACTGGAAGGATTAGGTCAATTGAAAAAAATCCAATGACTTCATCGGGACTTGAACCCGCGACCTTCAGGGCTTGTAGTGCCTCAGCCAACTACGCTACCGCGTGCCCTCGATTTGTATTAATGTAGTTCGCGATTATTAAACTGCTGTGTCAGATATTTTGGATTAGTGGCAAAATGTCTGGACACCGCGTCTGGGTTTAAGGCTGAAGGCCCAGATCGTCTCTGTTACTAATTTTGTCCCGGAATAGGATGAATTGCTTAAAAATTACTGCATGGAATTTGAAAATATTTAAAATTAAAATTTAATTGCGAAGCTTTAGTTTTGTCAACGGGCTTGTAAGTCGGATCAGAGGTGCCGTGTCATTAGGGAACGAAGCGACTTTGGCTGTTCATGCACTAAGATCGTGGGTTCGGGTTCCATTTGAGGCATGGATGTATGTCTGGGTCTTTACTGTGTTTTTGTTGCACTGTGTAGGTACCGTTCTTGCGATGGGCTCATCCCCCGTCTAAGGAGTCCTATAAACTATCCGTAAGACACATAATTCTGGATTAATTCCAAACGGGAACAAGCCACATGGCCCACTTTGTAATAATAATAAAAAAATAAAAAGCTAATATAAAACTATGAACTTCTAAAGTTTGTCCATTTTAATGAAGAATAAATCCCTCATCCATAAACACGAATATCCTGCAATATCTGAGGAGATATAAAAGAAATGCTTTCGTAAAACTTTCTTCAGATCACAACTGCACTTTCCTGTCATATTTTCTGAGGATGTGTATGTTCGGATCTGGGTTGCCGCTTGGTTCCTCGCATATTGTTATCATAAAACACCCCCTCGCATTATCCAAGTGTATTATTTTTAGCTAGTACCTACCTTTTCCGCTTCCTCTTCCTAAACCAGTCCATGATGACTTGGCTGGTCTGAACTATTGTCCTGAGTCAAGGTCTGACAGGCAAGTGCCAGAGAATCAGCTGATGAGAAATACCTGATTCGAAGCCAGCACAAAAACTTATTGCTTCACAATATTTAGTAACATAAATATAGCTTACAGTAGCAAACTGTATAATTATCAGCTCGTAGGTAATACACTTCGTCTATTCCTGTGTTTATTTCTCATGACGTTTTAATAACACACACACAAACGTAACTCCTGCACACCACTCACAGCGGACTGTGGGTGGTGATCTGGCCTCAACATGCGGCCTTCAAAGAGCATCAACTAGGTTTCACAGAGTACGCATGCGTCAAAATTCATAATAATACGACAAAACTCCTCATCGAGTACGTCAATTAGAAGATCACGGTCGAATAGAACGTAAGTATATTAATTAAACCAGTATTATTTTAAATATAACACTCATATAATTGTATATTTTATGAGAAAATATAATTATTTTCATTCTTAACTCCGGGTCTATGGAAATCTTTATATAATTTATGTAATTACGAATAGCTGTTCCTGTTGCGGTATAATCGTATCATAACTGTGGAAAGACTGGATGCACCAAGATATAAAAAGTACCTACACGTGGCATACTCTTATCAATTTCTACATAAAGTAGCCAATCACTGATGTGTATAGCGTATCGGTAAATAGAAGATAAAAAATATGTCTTTCTGATGTCAGCGTCTAGGCTCTAAAACCGTGTTTCTGTGTGACGACTTGAATCCCCCCCCCCACAAACTATATACTAGGTACCTCATGATTTATTCCTTTTTTACTTGATCAAGTAAGCTGGTGCAGTGATAATGCTGTAGACATGCAGCCTAAAGCCACCTGGTTTAATTTTTGTCAGGTTACCTTTTCGTAGTTTTCCTCAGTCTTTCTTTCCAAAACATGTTTTTATTTACTGTAGTGATGTTATATTTTAAACAATTGTGGGAACCTCAACATCTCAGAACCCTATGGGCCTTCACGTCCTGTTACAGGGATACCTTTACTTTTACATTTAATCACAAGGATACTGAAGTTATGAAATTTCGATTTATGTTCAGATAATGTGTATTAAATATTGGTACAGTGACAGTGATATTTTCGAAATGTCAAATATGCAACTTGAGAAATGCCCATCTGGATCAACAGGAAACTGAAAGTGTTGATAGAAGAATCGTCTTTGATATAAGCTATCTAATTCCAGAGAAAGTCATTCCTTAATAAAAAAATATACGAATTATTTGGAAGTAAGAGTAAATTTTAGAGGTCTGTCATAGTAAATAGACATTTAACTCAGGCGTGTTTAGATAACAGCAACAGCAGATTTATGAGCACTGTCCCATTAGTGAAGGAAATGAGTGGAGGGAGTTTATTTGTATATGATTATACACATTTCATTAATTAAGCAAATTTGTTCTCAGAAATTTATGATTTCGACCATATCAGTGGAGCTGTTAGCAGTCTTGACTGGCAGATTAAAACATTATCAGATGTTTATTAAACAGATGGAACAGGGCGGGAACGTAGTTTCGGCCTTGGTCAGTACACAACAGTATTCCAGGCAGAAGTGTATGCCATTAAGGTATGCGCAGTTGAGAATTTAGATAGAAACTATAAAAATAGGAATATCTATATTCTATCAGATCGTCAAGCTGCAATCAAAGCACTTGGTACACACAAAATCACTTCAAAATTGGTTTGGGATTGCCACCAATCCCTTACACAACTGGCCAGACATAACACAGTTCAGCTGATATGAGTGCCAGGTCATGAGGGTGTTGCTGGGAATTAAATGGCAGATCAACTGGCAAGAACAGGATCTTAACCAGCTTGCGACATCTCGGTAGAAGAGTATTGTAGGGAATGAAACCGCAGATCAGCTGGCAAGAACAGGACCCGAACAGACGTTCACAGGACCTGAACAGGCGTTCACAGGACCTGAACCAGCTTGCGGCATCTCAGTAGGAGAGTATTGCAGGGAATGAAACCCCAGATCAGCTGGCAAGAACAGGACCTGAACAGCCGTTCACAGGACCTGAACCAGTTTGCGGCATCTCAATTGGAATTGTTTCTTGCATCCTGTTGTGTATTTAATCAATATTAGGGTTAATTTCACCGACCACACAACACGTTTTTATTATTGTCACATTACATGTTTCGACCTCAAGAGGTCATCCTCAGGTGTACGAACACAGTTGCACAATCACACGCAATTATATTCGTTTTCCACCTGAGGATGACCTTTTGAGGTCGAAACATGTAGTGTGACAATAATAAAAACGTGTTGTGTGGTCGGCGAAATTAACCCTAATATTGATCTCAATTGGAGTTGCGAAGAAAGTTGTCGGGGACTGGACAGATAGAAAAAAAAAATACTGGGAATCCACAATTGCACTCAGACAGGCAAAAGATTTTATATCAGGACCCTCTACCAGAAGAACGAAGGACCTGCTGAAATTAAACAGAGATCAATTAAGATGGGCGGTAGGATTACTTACTGGACACTGCCACCTAAAAGACACCTTTTCAGACTGGGACTGACAGATGACCCAACGTGTGAAAGGTGCCTACAAGAAGTCCACTCAGCCACACATATCCTTTGTGATTGTGAGGCCATAGCTTACTTAAGATTTCGTCACCTGGGTCAGTTCTTCATGGAACTAAGTGACTTTTATGATGCCCCCATATATAAAGTCCTACATTTCATGTGAAGTGTAGGATTAATAAAGGGTCAATCCAAAGGAGAAGCACAATAGAAAATTGAAGGTCGCAGTGCGAGTGCCCGATTTTATGGCCCACCCGTTACACACATATAGACGTACATTATTCAACGATTGCAACGAAGAAAGGTATTTCCTAGTGGAGTTTTAAGTCTGACATTCCTTCCCCCCACAAGAACTATCGAGGCTACTAATGACACACCACAATCGACGTATTGTTTTGTGGCTCAGCACGCCTGAAATGAACAGGAAGCTTATACAGATAGAATTTACTCAAATATGATGTTAAATTATATGTGAATTAAAGCAGGTGTATGTATTGCCGTCATAATATATGAATAAGAAGCGTGGTTTGTCTAAAGTTTCAGATTAGAACTGCCAGACACGATTTTATTGAATTTGTATAGTGTCTATAGACATATGTATATACTCGTACTATAAGTGCTCTGAAGAAAGCAGTCTTCTGGGATTTTGCACCGTGTATATGTACACGGTGCAAAATCCCAGAAGACTGCTTTCTTCATAGTCACCGCCGTGAAAGCCTCAAATCTTATATAAGTGCTCTGTTTTGCAAAAGAAAATCTTCCCAGACTTTGTTACACAGGTCATGAGATAAATATTAACTGCACTTCATACAATGTTTTCAGCTTTCACAGAATATAAACACTACATCGAAACGAAAAACTTCTCGCTTCCGTTTGATATATTACGTAGGTTTACTTTTATAAGACATTGCGAAATATGGTAGCCAGCAAGAGCGTAATTTTGCAGCTCTCGTAAATTTGACCGACAAATGTTTATTTTTCCCTGAATCAGAGTGACGTTAGCTGTCGAATCAGCTGCCATTCACCTCCGTAGCTGCTTCTGTTTATTCAAAATTTCAGCTGTGGGTAAACTCTTGCAGAAGGTAGGAGCTCCAGTCATGCGTTCAAACAACATTACCTCGTACCCCCGTTAGGATCGCAATGCGACAGACGAAATAAACTATTTTCGTGTCTGCTTTTAATGTTATAAAAATTATGGCACCGGTTCAAAAACCATTAATTTGTTCCAAAACGTCATTTCTCTACTGTATATGATATAATATGACTTCAACAATAATTTAATCGTGTGAATACATTTATGTGTTTCATAGATTAGGTCAATGACCTTCCATCGTTTTCTTGGTCACTCGAGATCTCTCCCTTTCAATTTATATTAAAAGGCATTTTTAAGTCTTTTATTTGCATTCTACCAAGGTGCTGAAACCTTCGTTTTTTGTAATCTGATATTTTTTATCCACTTGAAGAATTTTTATAGTTCATCCTTGATATCTTTATTTTTTACCTTGTAAAGACGTGTACACCGGTCAACTGTTATTTCGAATCTAATTTAATTTATTTATATTGTAGGTCCCGTTTATTTAACGTCCGGATTCTCCTCCTTCAAATCAGTGCGTGCGATGTTACTATTACGTTGCATAACTTCAATTAGTTTTCTGTTTATTATTTTACTTAGTATGGTGCCATTTTTTGTGTCGAAATCTGTGAATGTTTCTTTCATATCGTCCTAAAAATGAAATACTATATTATGACCAGGATGGTTAAAAGTATAAATGCAATTCAATGTAACAGGAATTATTCCTCTTCAGTTAGAAATCAGTTAAAATTTCTCAAAAGGTATTTACAATTAATAACAAGAAATTTTCAGACACTGTAAGGAAAACAGACATTGTTGCCGTGACTCTTGTACAACATATTTAGATGATTGCCAATTGGTGGTTAAGATATGACCTAAAGAGCAGTTGTTATTCTCATTCAACAAAAATCAAAGAAGATGCTGTAAAATGTGGCGCCTCTAAAAAGGCTACGCCCCAGAAAGACGCTAGGTTTGCCTGTGCTCTCGCGTCGGCCTTGTCAATACAAGCGTATGCACGAAATTTGTCAAGGTTCACAATTATCGAAGAAACGTTGCGAACTTTAGGTTAATCTATAAGACGGATCTATGATTAGCTCTTTCAAGCAGAAAAAATATTACAACCTAAAATCTCCGATCTACACAAAGACCGAATTAAGTGGTGTAATCTCCGAAACAATAAGTTTTTGCTCTGTATCGACGCAGCTGATCCCCCGAGATTTAATTGCGGGTAATAATATTCTTATAGTGACACATCATTTCTAATGTGTATTGTTCCTGATAACAATTTAATTCAAATCTGAAAGATCAAGTTCTCACGTTCGCTAACACTTGTTTTATTAGCCATAGATATTTAACAGTAATTTTCATTTCATGCATCCTGTTGTGTTACAATATATAACCTCTTTATTACATCCGTCACAACACAACTAATATCAAGATCAGACAGCAGGGCCGAAAATAGTCTGATCTTGATATTAGTTGTGTTGTGACGGATATAATAAAGAGGTTGTATTTAACAGTAATTTGATTGAAACCTATGTGGTAGTAATAAGCAGCAGTCGTCACCATGAAACTTTGAGCTTAACACGTGATTATGTTTCGAACATCTCCCCTTCCTCTCTTCTTAAATAAAAACAGGCAAAGCAGTTGGTATCATCTGTGTACTCGAGGCGATGAAGGGAAGTGATTATGGATGAGGTCTGTCCAAAGTCTGAACACTTAATCTACCAACAGCAAGTGAAGAACTGACAAACTGTGGTCCTCTACAATATGAAGATATAATTTTATTAATAATACCTCCCTTCATTCATTTTTAATATATTATGCATGGACCTATTATAGATATTGTATTAGAATCTCAAACAATGTGTATGTGAAGATTTAGGTACAAGCATAAATATAATTCTGGATCCCTAGAGCATATATTTACTACTTCCACTTACTAAAATGACAAGTGACAATATAAAAACGGAGTGGAGTCCAGTCAAAAATCCATTTAAGATATGTCGTTCGCTTTGAGAAAACTATACAGAATTTTATATATAATAAATTAATTATTACTGACGAAATTGTTATGTATTTTGATACTCCATCAAAGAAGTGTGAGAATAGTTGACACCATTTAACAATTTCTGGTTTACAGAGGTGTTATCGAGTTTCTCTCAGGTACCCAGTTGCTTCGAAATAAACCCGCGAGTACCCCAAGTGAATGAAATACGCATTTGCAAGTACCTCCAGCGGTTAGAGGACCTTGCAACATGCAGACCTCATTGCCTCGCTCTCAGTAGCAATGACTTTCAAGGAATATATCTTATCGAACAATGGAAGGCGAAAGAAAGTGACACTTTATTACAGTTATGATGACGATAGAGCGTTTGCATGCCTTACCCATAGTGTTGTTAAAACAGTAACAACAATGTCGTCTGTAATTAAAGGTCTGCTGAACACACCAAACTTAATACATATTCTCGCATAAATATACCCATTTTCAGCCTAGCAACCGAACATCGTGGTGAAACTTCATGTTAGTGTTTGGTAGGTCCTTGGTACGTTGTTCAGCCGCGAGTTGGATTATTCTGATTTAAGTTTTTGTTGTTTTTCTCAGTTTCTCCAGGTGAATACTAGGAGAGTGCTTTAAGTGGGCTGCAACTACTTATTTCCAATTCCTTGTCCACTTAACTACTCGTGATCACATTCCCAACACACTTGATGGAATATTAAATAAATATTTGTAGTGGAAACAGCAACGTTAAATAGCCTTAAAATTTAGTTTAGATTCTGCGTCACTTTCAGATTCATATGCCTTACAATTCAACAACTTTATCATTCGATTGGCGATTTTAAAAAGAGCTGCTAAGCGGGCTTATTCATTTTTATGCAGCGCTATTATGACACAATGAATAGCCGCTTTTCATCCTGAAAGATTAGGTTCCTGATACATGGCTGGCGCGGTGCCATGTGAAATTAATTCGTATAAACGTAATACATCAATATCATAGCGTATATGATGAAACAGTGTCCATCATCACGAATGTAATTCCAGGTTTTGTCCACTGACTGACATAGATACTTGGCAAGATGAACTCAACAGCATGGAACGACATTTTAAAAACTGGAATTCCTAATTTTAAAAGGCAGTTACTGCAAAGTAATAGCAGTAACTGAAATCAGGTTGGGAAGAATTTCTTTTCCTGCCCACCTCTTTCCCTGAAAGTAATGCTGCTGGAATGTAACCTGGCTACTGAACACCATCTAGCATCGGAATACACAGAATATCCACATGCATTCTTTGAATTCTGAATGATCCTTGCTGTTACTAAGATTTCAAGAACACATCAACAACATTAAGATTCGTTTATTTATTTCCTCCTTGGGAGAAATTCAGAATTTGTCACACACAACATCAAAGATTCGTATTATCATAATATTTTTGTTTACTTAGAAACAATATTTATTATATAATTTACAGGTATGTGTTTGTTCTATAGTCATTCCAACTGCAAGCTAAATATAGATTTCCTAGACCCACCAAATTGTTTTCATCATTATCAATCTGCATACTGTTCTCCAACTTATTTCTCAGTCTTTCAAATANTTTAAAAGGCAGTTACTGCAAAGTAATAGCAGTAACTGAAATCAGGCTGGGAAGAATTCTCTTCTCGCCACTCTCTAAGAAGCACAGGCTTTAATTGGAGGGCAAGGAAGGTAACCACCACTAAATTTCTGCTGGGAGGAAGGTTCAGCTCACACTCATCATGAAAGAAATACTGTATTGTAAATACATTTGAGCCTCAAACTAACCAAAATTCAGCTCATTCACTCTCATTCTTGGAGCTCAGCCCTTCTTGAGAAGTCGTCTAGTGTGCAGTTACTCAAGAATTTCCCAGCATTTTATGGAACCCAAAGGCTCATTACTGTGTTCACAAGGGCCCTCCAATGGTCCCTATCCTGAGCCAGATCAATGCAGTCCATACCATCCCTTCCAATGTCTCTTAAGATCCATTTTAATATTGTCCACCCACCTACACCTTGGTCTTCCCAGTGGTCTCTTTCCTTCTGGCTTTCCCACCAATATCCTATATGCATTCCCCTTCTCCCCCATCCGTACTACATGCCCTGCCCATCTCATCCTCCTTGACTTGATCATTATAAGTATACTTGGAGAAGTGTACAAATTATGAAGCTCCTCATTATGTAGTTTCGTCCAACCTTCCGTCACTTCATCCTTCTTTGATCCAAATATTCTCCTCAGTACCCTGTTCTCAAATACCCTCGGTCTATGTTCCTCCCTTAAAGTGAAACACCAGGTTTATACCCATATAAAACCATAGGCAAAATTAATAGTTTTGTATATCCTAATTTTGATGTTTTTAGACAGCGGAGGAGAAGACAAAAGGTTCTGAACTGAATGGTTTTGGCTCGTTTCCTTTGATCTAATAATTTTGAGCATACTTTGTTGATCCATGACTTATGCTTCTTCAGTTCATAATAACCTAGACTCGCTTTGGCTGAAATTTTTATATTCTCTCTAATAGTTTCCCATGCTCTAATAATATCCACCTCAGTGTCTAAGTTTTCCAAAGCTGTGAACCTATTTGATATTTCAGCATAATACTGCTCTTTACCCTCTACCTCGTTTAATTTCTGGTGATGGAACCTCTCCATATGAACTCTGTGCATTGATTCTTTACTCACTGCCAATCTCTCCATAACTTTTGCTACCATCCGATAGTGGTCAGTATCACAATCTGCTGCCCTGAACAATCAGATATCAGGTATACTTGAATGCCATTTCCACTCTATCAAAATTAGGTCAAATTAGTTGTGTGTCTTTCCATCAGGAGATGTCCAAGTAAATTTGTGAATGTTACGATGTGGGAACATTGTACTTGTGACAATAAGATTTTTGGATGTGCTAAAATTTACTACTCCATTATCATTACTAATTTCATGCAAACCCTCATTCCCATTGTTGTTTTTTTATCCTCTATGACATTGAAAAACCATGGTTGGCCATGGGAAAATCAGGGACTGGGCTGCAAGGACTCTCAGTAAGAGCATCAAAGAGGTTGCCAGTTTGACCCACATGAGAACCTAACACTCACTACTTAGCTAGTCATGATATTCCCTGCTTTATATGAAACATAAATTTTATTACTTTTCTACAATAGCCAGTGAACATGATCAACATTTTACATGATCTGAAGCTTTCATGTCATTGAAGGCCCATCTTTTGAATTAGTGCACTGTGTAGAGCGCCAGTTAGATAGAAATGTCTGTGGAGAAACATACTTCTATCCTAAGAATTTAACCATTTTTCCTCATAGATGTTATTTCTCCGTTATTACAGGATCTCATGATGAAAAGACAATTGTCCCATGGTATTTGGAGGCACATGCTAATGAAGGCTGAAAACAAACCTCTATCTTCTCAACCTTCACTACACTGGCACAGCAGGATTAAGGACTATGGGACACGCCTCACATCAACACACAGTGAACATAATATAGGTCAATGGTTAATGACACATAACACCATTGCGAACTTCTATCAAATTTCATACTGGCATCTACAATAAAAATTCTGGAGCTTATGTAGTTTTGTTCACATCAATCCCATATATGATGTACATTATATGAAGCTCAAAACAAAACTTGAGTTTCTGAAAATAGGAACACTGAGCAAAACATTACACATGGTGTTATTTACACATATCTTATTTAAACATAAATCATTTATCTTAAAATTTGTTCAAGATGGTGAATATTTAGTAAAATAGAAGAAAAATTAACTTCTGAACTATGCTATGAAACATCTGTAGAATTAATTTAATTACATGTATATTTTAATTTCTTCTGATTTCTGTGCTGAAATAATGTGATGAAAAACACTTCACTGTGGATGAGGGTATATTATTATTATTATGATCTTTAGTACAGGAAGCAGTTCATAGATACCTTATCTTTAGATGTAATGTAAACTTCAAAATTAAGTTCTATGGTCAATAGTGTGATATATTTATTTCTTCTGAAGTCATCTATTTTTTGTCCATTTCCATCATTATACACGTACATCCATCCTTCTTTGCCAAAAACATGTGTGTGAATGTATTAATGGACTATTATGCTATGTGTTACTGATTAAAGTGTTGAATGCTTAGCCTGATGACTATAAGGTTGTATAACAATATGTGATGACAGATTATTATAGTTCCCATACCAGACACAAGAAGTTTTAATTTAATTGTTTTGCATTTTTACTAGGAAGAAAATACATGATGACCAGACACTAATTAATAATGAATACAGTATATATGTGTTATTTCTTCTTTAATGTTTCGCTTAGAGGGGTGGAGTCCAGCTGGGTCCACTCAGCACGGTGGCCACTGATTGGCCTATTGTACCTGCCCCAGGTGATTATGATAATGGAGAATTTGGTGGAATGAAGATTGGCAGGGGAAACCAAAGTACTTGGAGAAAACCCGCCCCAGCACCACTTTGTCCACCACAAATCCCACTTAACCAGACCCAGGATCAAACATGGGCCAGCGACTAACCACTTGAGCTATGGCGCGGCCTTCTTGAATGTTTAATTACTATATATTCTGGTATAATAAGGAAAGGGACCATATCCCACAGGAAGAATGATACTTCTGCTAGCCAGATTACAATTATATATTCCAACACAGATACAAACTGAGGAACAGAGAGCAAGACCAATCTTGAGTTAATAATTTATGAATGTAATACATCACGATCATAAATATCCCATGTCAAGCTTTGCTTTTTGATTCTGAAAGATCAGTGGTATACAGATATATTATATATGGTGCAATAAAGTTATCATAAAAAGAAATAATCAAACAGGCTAATCAATTCTTTACTTATTACAGTCCTAGTTCTGCACTAAATTAAAAGATAATCAAACAGGCTAATCAATTCTTTATTTATTACAGTCCTACTTCTGCACTTAATTAATGCTCATCTTAACAATTAATCTGATAATTCAGTGCTTAAGTATAAACCTCTAATTATTTATACAGGTCATATGAATATCCAACAAACATATTTAGAAATCTGCAGCCCATCCTGGCCACAGTTTCTCAAACTGAAATACATATGGTTGCGGGATCACTGCCGGTATGTGTAAATATAGTTTAATCAAAGGCGATTTCATTGTATGGTTTCTGCAAAATTCTTTTGAAGAAAAAGGTCATGAGATAATAATGTCTGAGATGGAACAGAAAAGAGAGTCTATAGCAGGTGAGAGTAGGAAAAATATCAGGCTATAGGTGCTAGCAGTTCATTGCTGATCCCNCTTTTGTGTAACCTGAATATTCATTAACACATTCATAAAAGTCTACCAATGGACCCCATTCCTTAGCCAGATGAATCCTGTCCATACCCAAGATTGTATATCATTAAGACCCATCTTAACATTATCTTACCAACTGTATTTAGATTTCCCATGTGCCCCCTTCCCCTCAGGTGACCCTAGTGAAATTTTATACCAATATTTCAATTCTACCATGTCCTCTACATGCTGCACCCACATCATCCTGCTTGATTTGATCACATTAGTAATATTTGGTACACAATACAAATTGGTATCTTAGGTTTGTGTGGAAGGAATTTCATTTCAAATTTCTGCCTGTCTTAGCTGCAACACTTGCTACAACCACACCACAAATCAAAGGAACTGTGATCTACTGGACATCCCGCTAAACATTCAACCTCAAAAGAGTGCAATAGAAGGAGACAAACTTACTATAGCATGTAAGTCATGAATTTCCACAGTGTGTTCCATGAAGTCCCATGGTTCTGCATGACAGAAAATAAAAGCTAAGATTTAAATTTCTTAGCTATAAGTGATCTGTGATACACAAAGAATGTGATCCTAAACATTCCAGTCATCTGTGCATTGTTTTACCCATTCATTCATCGAGTTCCTCCTTCTAAAGAGAGATTCAATGCATTGAAAAAGGCTGGTGAAAAATATAAACTGTCTAAATGTAACATTTAGTTTCAAGAAATGTAAGTTATTGTATGACAAGACAGATTGTAATTGCAGCCCTTTAATGCTACCCACAAAAGGGAGATGTCTATTCCAAAACAAAGTGTTAGTCGGTATTCACAGTGAACAAACATAATTTTGTAACAAATCCCACGTCCATCTCATGTTATGTTTTGAATAAATTTTATGAGAGTTTTGCAGTAAGAGAATAAAAAAGAAATGGACAATTAGTGACAAAGTAACAACTGCATAAGTAATAATTGAAGAAGATGCAGAAAATGAATGTGCAGAACAAGGTGGCCTAAAAGTCAGGTAACTGGTTAGTAAAATGTACACTAAAAACTACATTAGAAATTTCTTTATTACTTGTTGAATTTAGAAAAATGAGATCCTCCAGCTTCAACACAAAACTCATAATGCTGTGATACTGTTCTACAGTTTGATTAGCAGCTTTAAATCTGAACATTCCCATTAAATTAATACAAAAGAATGTTTTAGGTTAACTGACTTTTGGGTTACTCTGTATATGTATGAAAATTTATGTTCTTTATGGGATTCACTTATGCTACTTATTACAGATGCTGTTATTTGTTTCCTTGTTTATTTAACAGTGTTCTCATAAGTGCATGTTATAAGGTCAGAGATGCTGATATTAGAAAATGGAGTGCTAGGCCACACCCAGACCATGAACCTCAGATAGCTCAAATTTAACTGTAGTTACAATTCATTTTTTCAACATGGTTTAATCTTGATAAGAACAAAATCCAAAAGAAAAAAGAACCTATCATATGCAGGTGAGTTCCAGGTTATCCAGAAACTTATCATTGATTCGAAATTTATGCTATTTGCTTTGAAGAGACATATGTGGGCATACTGGATTCAAGCAAAATTTTTCAGTTCTTAATCGAAGTTATGAAAAGTTGGCTGAATCTGGCAATGGCCTCCCATCTCTTCGATAAATGGTGACAAATTTGTTTGTAAACTCCTCACCTATTGCGGCAGGCAGTGGGGTAGTGGTTGAGGCACTATACTACAAGCCAGAAGGTCGAAGGTTCAATTCCTGATGAGGTTAATGGATTTTTCAATTGACCTAATTCTTCTGGCTGCACTATGACCTTGGGGTTGACTCAGCCCCTGACATAAATGAGTACCAGGAATCTTTCTGGGGATAAAGGGTGTGTGAGGCTGACAATCTCACCACCATCTGTGAGCCAATTGTCTAGAAAATGTGGGAGCCTTGATGTCTCACAACCATACGGGCCTCCACAGCCTGTTACAAGGATAACTTAACCTACACTAACCCCATGAAGCGCAGTCCATCTTGAGAAGCTAACAGCTATTCAGTTGGTCAAGAAATTCACAGCATTTCATGGCATACAAAAGTTCATTACAGGTTCACAAGAGCTCATTTCTGGTTCTCATTCTGAGCTAGATGAATCCAGTCCATGTACTCCCATGCTATTCTTTAATATCCATTTTATTATTCTCACATCTACACATCTGTACCAGGCTGTGAAGGTCCATAGGGTTGTGAGACGTTGAGGGTCCCACATTATCTAGACAATCGGCTCAAAGATGGCAGTAAGGTTTTGAGCCTTACGCACTGGCCGAGCTTTACTCCCCAGGAAAATTATTTAAAACTTCCGATATTTTACTTATTTCAAGGGGGAAATCATTTATATGTATATTAAAGAGTAAGGGTCCCAACCCCGATCTCTGAGGCACACCACATCTTCTCTTATTACTCTTCTTAATATAATGCAGTAGGATTTATAGTATGGTTTAAAGAAATAGCTGTAATTGTTTCTACAGAGGATGAACAAAGATTCCTTCCATTTACAGGAGGTACGTATACCAGCTGTTATCCAGCCATTATCCTTGAGTTTATTTGTTACATTTTGCTTTGGAAAGCATGACTCATAGACAAGTAAATACTTATTTAAAAATGAGTTGACTATTTCGTTTACATCATTAGGTTTATATATATTTTCCCATTTTTCATTAGATAGTTTATTAAGAAATTGAGTCTCCATTTACTAATCTTCTTGTGATTCCCTGCACTTTTTTCTTCTCCAGAAAACTGATATTTTTTAGTACAAGACACTGATCATCGTGGTAAGATAGTCCACTACCAACAGAGATTACTTTGTATGAATTTATCCCTGCCTAATCTATAAAAATATTACCAATAACAGAGCTTTTGGTGTCAGTTATTATAGTTGGGAACTGTACTGTATGAAATGTATTATATGATTGCAACAGCACTAATAGCTGTGTTTTACATGTTGACTCTTCTAAAAAATTCACGTTAAAGTTACCACATATAATAAATTGAATTTTAGGTTCACAGAGTAATTTGAGTACTTTATACAATTTATTTACAAAGTACTCAAAATTCCCACAAGGTGACCTATATAGAGTATAGACATGTTAGTTTTAGTTAAAGAAATCTTAAGTGTACAAATTCCTATGTTCTTCTTATCACAGAACTGTGCTAAATTTATAGCAGTAAATTTTATATCTGATCTTATATACATACAAACACTTCTTCCCTGATAAGTCGTACGGGCATACTTTGTTCCAAATACATAGTTCTGGAAATTACTGTATAATAATTTCTGGTCAGACATGAGATGCTCAGATAAGCATATTAAGTGAGGATTTATATTATTTCTAACTACTGAACACTTCAATTCATCAATTTTGCCACCAAGACCTCTGATATTTTGATGTACAAGAATTAGAGAGTCTTTGGTATAATTATACTTATTGAAAAGAGACTTATTTGATTTTACTCCCATAAAGAATCCTCATTTCTTGTAGGTGGTCTTTTTCTCTTTATGATTATGCTCTCTTTCCCGATCAAGGATTGTTTCTATCACCTTTCGTTGATTACTGATGTCACATCCCTCTATAATATTTTTGTGTACACCACTGTCTGGTCACAATCACAATCACTCAAGTTCTCACTTTCACTATCTTCTTTTGAACCCATTATATGAAAACAATACTACAGACAAATTAATCTTCATGAATAAAAGACATTACCTACACATCATATGTGTACACACTTCTCTTTTGGTGCAATGAAACTCTCACGCTCTCCAACATGGAGGTTCTTTTCATACATGCCCACTTCTGATTTATGAGCTTTGGATTCAGCATCTTTCAAGTCCACTTTCCTGATGCCTCAGTAGAAGGCTTTCCCCCCCCCCCCTTGGTACTACAGCCCCAGTGGGCCTAGGCCTACCTCCATGAACTCCGTTCACAGAAGGCTTGTTTAGAACTTCAAAATATTAGATAATACCATTTCCTTCCCATATCTGTCCCAACATACAATTATCCTTAAATCATGCACGCCTGCGCACGCACACATGCACACACACACACAAATTATGAATCAATGAATCAAACAATAACAGACTTGGTATAACATAATCATATACTATCACTTTCTTAGGGCCAGATGGACACCAATCTGAGTACCTTCTTGACTGGCTGTGGAAGAACAGTTACAATGGTCTCCAAAATTCAGACACTTACCACCCTAAACTGTGGAACAGGCAGAGTGTGGAACTGAAGAACATTGCACAAGTGGACATGTCTCAGTATATGAACACAGATGCAGGTGTTTATGATGTTGTCAAATCTATTGTGGATTTTGGTGTTGGAATTGTAAAAAATGTGAGTTTCTGGAGGTGGGTTTTATAAACATCTAAGTTGTGACAGACCTCACGACTTGGATGTAATGGCTTGCTTCTTAAAAGTTTCTTCACATTAACCATCTGAACATCAAAAATGTCTCAAATTTAGGGACACTTGCTGATTTGGAATATGTTTATTTAACAGTAGATATTAAATTAATGAAATATTTGCTGTCATCTTGAAAAATTATAAACTAAAACACTTCAGTCTGTGACTTTTCAACAGTGGGAATCATCAGTTACCACAAAAGTACAAAACCAACCCACTGAGAACAGCAGAGTCCTTCCTGAGGAGCTAAGAGTCACTCTACTGATTGAAAACTTTTTTTTTTTCTTTTATAGAACCAGAAGGCTAATCAGCATGTTCACAAAAAGAGTAATTAAATTTTTATTTAAGAAATCAGCATGGAAAGGATTAGTATAGAATGCCAACTTGCTTCCAAGCTCTCCTTTGTAAGCTATACACTAGAAATGTTAAAATATAATTCCTCAGAAATTGGAAAAAACTGTGATCAAATATTACTGAAGCACCTCTCGTGAAATTACAAGTTTCAAGGCAATGGAATAAGTCCATCGCTGCTTACTACACAGGTCTACATTTACAATGCAGCATTGCTACCTGTACTGTACTGCAATGTGTTAGGTGTCTACACCTAAAACCAAGCGGTTACATAATCTTACCATTACAGTTCTGTGAATTTTAACCTGCTTTGCCTTTTTTTCAAGTCTGTAAAACTTGCTGCAGTTTGTATCATGTGTTAAATTGGTGAGCTTGGTACCTCGAAGATCATTCTGAAATATCCTCAGCTATTATATCAATGAAGCAAGGAATACTGGGAGAATTTCGTATCAGAATCAGAATAAGCAAGCTATTTACAGTTTTATACGTCCTTTGAAGATACTTCTGAGTAACTATATTATATATAAGCATCCTGTTGCACTATACACTTCCATATGTAATAATACAAATGCCGTCGTGAATGCAACGATTTATTTTGTTGTAGTTCTTTGTGTTTTCTTCCTCTACACTATATGTTTCGGCTGTAACTGGCCATCATCAGATGTATGTTTTCACTACGTAGCTGTCACACTGCACAAAATCCAAAAATCTAAAACACCAGCCTGTCAGTTTTGTTTAAAATCTCGCCAATATACGCTCATCAATTTGATTTTAGAATTCCAGTTTAAAATTAATTTTTTTTTTAATTTAAAATTCTAAATTTAAAGTTTTAAATCACAGGGATACTTGCTCTGTGTCTACATGTGCTGCAGAGGCTGTTTCTTGTTTTCAGTACTGTGCATGTATGTATTGTGCAGGCTCCCTGTGTGTGTGTGTGTGTCACTGCTCACTTTTAATACTTTTAACAGAATTGTTACTCTGTCTGCTCTCAAGTGATGCTTATCACTGAGCCTGAACACATTAATTTACTAGTAATGCAAAAGAAACAGCAGGTCAACCCACACATAAGTATGTACATCAGAGTTAAAAACAGTTGTCCCTTTGTTTTGCAAATTTCTGGTATAAAGCAGATTTTTTTCTGTATTGTAGACTTTAAATATGATAAACTACATCAAAAAACACAAAAACTAGGAATTTTAAGTAAGAGACTTGAAATGCCTTACTCTTCTTTTCTTGTATTTCAACAGAATTTTGTTTTTTAATTTCCAGTGTTTCTGAGCTTTTGGTATATGCTATAAAATATTCTTTTAATCAGTTCCACCCTTTGAAATCTAGGTCAATCTAAGAGTCTGGAAGAACAAAAAAGAGGCAGCTGTAATCAGTGACAGGTATTTCACATTTAGATCAATTCTGAAAAGTGTATAAACATAATATTACTCTATATATAAGGTCCCTTTCATTTTAATTCATAGTATTGCTATAACTATAATATATAGCCATCCTTAGTATCTATGAGGTCTGTATTCAAATATTCACTAAAAATACTAAAGAAATTAGATTTGAGTAGTACTAACTGGGGCAGTATAAATTGGGGTATCTTGTGTACACTTCATCACTGGTGATGAGGAAGTGAAACACATCTCGGAATGAGTGAAAATAGCCTCTTACTGTGCTGATCATCATTCCTCAGTAACATGTAATACACATCAGTTCAAATGCATTGAGTATTTCCCCAAATATATTTCTCTTTTTACTTCATCATGAACTTTATTGCTGTTTGTTACTGCTGTCACCAAACAGTTGAGATCTGATAGAGAATCTGGAAAGTTTAACTCAAGTACATGGATATCCAGTACAGCTGAAATATTTGTTCTTCAGCAAATCCCCAGAACAAGCTGATTACAGGGTACTATCTTCTAGGATGTAATGCTGTGTAGTCTGGTGAAAGTTTACTGGTATCTCAGACAAACATCCCTGAACATAGTATTCTTCATACTCATTGTTGTGGGAACCTCAAATCTCACAAGCTATGTGGTTGATGTGTACTGATAGTACTTACTATCATAGTAATAATAAATACCACACAACATGTAACTAGGTGCCTGCAACAAAAGAAGCCACAGACAAGGTTGTGCAGCAAATTGCTCATGTTCAGCACACCATGTTTGGTGGCATGTGGGAGTTCAGTGATCACCTAGACCATTATGACACTGCTTACACACGCCAGGCCCTGGGAGCACATACTGACAACACCTACTTCACTGAAGCTGCAGGGTAAGCTGGAGTTAATCTCTCTCTCTCACTTACAGTTTTCTCCATTTCTGGTATAGGTCCCGGGCAACCATAAACTCATCTGTGTTCACTGCTGTTTCTAGCCAGTTTTTATAGAGCATAAAATATTTTATGTCTATTGCTACTTCACTGCTCTTTAACTAAGAGCAATCAATATGAAATAACAAGATGAATCTATAATTTATTTTCCTTTTTGTACTTTCAGAATTTCTTTTATATATATGATTGTCAGTGTTTATTTTAAGAAAAATCCAAGCAAATAATGGGCCCCTTCACTAGCACTATATATTTTAAAATCATATACTATTAAATATTTTAGCTATTATACATATTAAAGGACATAAACTCTATGGAAAATTACTTCTAGAAGCATACAAAAGCATTCTGTATTCCAATATCAGTAACAGACTTACTAAATCTGCAACTCAGAAAAAAAGATAATGATGGCAAAATACTTGTATTTCCATTATTTCTTTACAATATCGAAGATGCCTCAGCATTTATTCTAAAAAATAATTGCATGTTGATGTTCAGGCTGCAGGTTTTCCACTGTCTGCACCATGATGGTGAGGGCGGAGAGACATTGCTGGTGGATGGATTCCGAGCAGCCTATGATCTAAAACAGACACATCCAAAAAGTTTCCAGCGGCTCAGCACACTACCCATTGAAGCTGAATATCTGGAGGCTGGAAAGCATTACATCAATGTAGATTCCATGCTTAAATTACACCCTCTTACTAAGAAGTTACAACAGATAAGGTAAGGGGATGGCTTTTAACAGAATGACTTCTACAGGTCACTCTGTTCTCTTCAGTTTAAGAGTTATTTTGCATTTCTTCACCTCCCCCTTCCTGCCCCCCAATAAAGGAATCACACACATGCGCAAACTCTTTCTCTCTGCAAAATAAATTGCACACACTTTCTCATGTACATAAAATAAAGCTACCGGCATATGTTACATTTGCTGACACATGATCCATGAGTATTATTTGGAATATGTAGTTTGTATATGAGCGAAGCTTGTATCTTCACATAATGCATTCATAATGTTTATAAATTCTCAAATTTTAATTTACATGCATCTGTACAAGATATAAACACTTATAACTAGGTCTACAGAGTGTAGTCCTTCTTATAAAGCTGACAGTCACTTAGCTATTCAAGAAATTCCCTGCCTCTTATGAAAAAAAAAAAAAGGTCTTCAGTATGTTCCAGAAAATCTGCCACTGGGTTCTATATAAACAGAAAACATGAATAGAATTTATAAATGTTAAAACTTCTTATCTATGGAGTACGTATTGTTCATGTGACATTCCTCGACTACTTGCATGCTTCCTGTAAAAGTGTACTTTTGCTGGAATTATTTTGTTTCTTTGTCAGAACCTTCAGTTATACTCTCAGACAGTTTATTTGCTCTTACAGGTTCAATCTAAATGATCGGGCACCAATGAGAATACTGGCAGCTGAACAGATTTCTCAACTATATGAAGATATCCAGTCATTTTCTGCTAAAGTGAAAGACCCAGAGGGAGAATGGTGGTTTAAGCTTCATCCTGGCATGGTTCTGTTCATTGATAACTGGAGAGTTCTTCATGGACGAGCATCCTATACAGGTCATAGGAAGATGACTGGCTGTTATATAAGTCGATCTGACTATATCAGTAAAGCTAAAGTTCTTGAGATTATATAGTATCTTTCCACAGGACCAATGGATAGCTTGAGGATGACAGCCTCAAACATCAAAAGAAAGAATGCACTGCAATTAGAAAACTTGCTGCAAAATTGTTTTTAGTATATTATAAATGCAAAGCCCTAATTTATTCCAATGGTTGATTTTTTATTTTAACACTATCTCACTTTTATTTTAAATTGTATCAGTTTTCTCAAACCTCCTTTATAGAAAACGTATATAACTTAAAACATTGATTTCATTAAGAACTAAAACTTTTATTTTAAAAGTATTCAGTAAATATTTAACAAAACACAAAGAACAATGAATGCTGCTGCAATGCAATAATATTGCAAAAAATGAACATCAAATCCTACAAGGTATGCAAAATTCAAAGAACAATTATGAAAAATACATGCACTCTGTCCTTCCATTCACTTTTTCAATCAAATTGGATACAAGTAGGCTACAACGATTTACATTCTGCATTAATATTTCTGAACTGTGTCACATCTGGCAATGTCATCTTTAACACAGTTACCACTTGTAATTATTTTATGCTGTAAAAAACAACAGTGGGTGAAAGCTGCAATCATTTGCTGTGCTTCTGTTACTTAGCAACACATTCTTTAGAGCATCAGCACATAAACATATGTATGCGTGACAAAGGACTCTCTGTCTGGGTTTAGGAAATGAACATTAAAACTTGGATCATTCAACTAAAACTAATTTATTTGTATGAAAAAGCCATCACCAGATCATTATATAAATATTGTATAAACAAAATATAACAGAATATTACAAAATTTGTGTGTACATGGAAATTCAGGAGCTTTGAATATATCTATTCATAGGGATGTTAATAAAAACGGTCTAGCTTGCTGTACTATATCAATCCTTGGGTCCAGTGACCTTCCCAGACCTTCTACCACCATAATTGCTAGTATGATGGATGAGAAGCTACCATCCAGCTTCACCTTATGTTCAATCATTGCAGAGAATAGAGATGTCATTATGGCAGACACTTCAACCTACAAAAATAAATAAATACATATATTATAGTTAACAGATAATGGTGTTAATCCTTGAATCTTATTCCAACTCACAATTCTGGTGCTGCCATACAAGACCTGATTTCTTAGTGCCTTCAGGCTAGCACAGGTGAATCAAAACATGGACTGACTCAATATTAAAAGATTTCTCTTCAGCAATAACCATCTGCTCAGTTGATCAAGAGATTACCTGTTCTTACAGAAGCCACATATTTGTCATCATCATCACAACATATGTTTTTAAGATTCATTTCATATTCTTTACTTATTTTATGGTTTACTTAATGATGCTTTAAAAATTTAGGGACACATAATTCTGAATGATATGATTATGGAATAATAAGTTTGAGAGGATGCGGAAGGAAGTTGTCAGGGCACAATTTGAGGTAGAAATCCAAATTTTTTAGAGGGAATGAGGAAAATCACAAATATCAATCAGGACAGAAAATCTCTGGCTGAAATTTGACCCCATGACATCCCAAAAATGGTGCAGGAGTGTTGTCTACATGACTATGGCATTTGGTTCATTTGAATAGTATCTTCCCTGTTCAACTAATACTTCTGTTATTGCCTCTTCCTATAATGTTTCCTCAAGACTACCACATACCATACATATATCTTCCTTGATTTAATCACCTAACACTGCCAATAAGATTTATTAACACAATTTTCATAGAACTTTGAGAAAATTATCAACAAAACAACTGAACTGTTCAATAGTAAATCTCACCACAGTTGGACACACACAACAGAATGCTTAGATGACTGAAGCACGTCAACAAATATTTCAATCACAGCTGAGAAACGTATGTCCAGAGATTACTTGCGTAGTTGTTTGTGCACCAAATGGGAAATGATTAACAACCTACTGAATAATGCATAGTCATAAATGTGGAACATGCTCTATACAGTAATTCAAACTTGCAAGCAGCAGCAATTTATCAAGATTCATTTGATCAGTAACACCTACCCCTGCTAGCCAAGAGGTTAATAATCAAGACATTTAGCTTCAGAAATCTGCAAAATCATGCATACAGTGTAATCCCCATTTTGCATTCTTCTGCTTCAGATTTTACTTCATTTAGTGTTAAACTTCTATGGCACCAACATAACTGTGTCATCTTTTACAGTTTTCCACAATTTAGCGTTCAGATTTGTTAATATAAATGAGAAGATTAAAGGGGATTTCACTGTTTATGTATCAATTATGCCTACCACATGTATTTATGTGATTTACATGTTAATATAAATACAATGAAGAAAACTAACTTGTTCTAAGGTGACACTCCTGTCCAGTGCAGAGCTAACAATTTCATTCATTCTGTATTTGAAACTTTCTGGGTCTGTACACTGATGACTGGAATTATTTAGAAACAGCTCTCCAACCTTTTGTCCCTAGAGCAAAATTATCAGAAGTATTATATCATATGAGTCTATGTGGAATTCCATAGATAAGGTAATGTATAAATATATACTGCTACTTGTAAATGTCGAGGCGCACCAGATATATGTACCCAGACATTTTCAAGCATCGTGGTTGCCAAAAATAACATCAATGGTTTGTCCATCTTTTCTGAACAAGTCAGTATACTAGAACATGATACAATATCAGGATTTGACTTTGGACATACAAGGCTTAGGTCTCAAAAGTAAAGACAGACTGCAGACAGTGCATTCAATCTAGTCCTTACATGAAAATATTAAAAAGGAACAGTTGTGCCATGTGAGTTGATACAAGAGTTTACAAAGCGAGATGGAAGTGGAGGAGGGAATGAGCATATGTCAGGAGGAGTAGCAACACAGTTCAAATTCAACATGTATTGCCACATGGCATTTAAACAGAAAAATGTAACAGACACTAAATCAACAGCTCACACTATAAAATGTAAGGTTAGCATGTTTGGGGGTACAGGCTGGCAGTTAGGACAGAGGAGGATCAAACTTAGAAGATGGGCTGTGAATTTAGCAACACACATCAGTAACTAATGAAAGATGAAGTAGAAATAGTATTGTTCTTGCAATCAGACACAGTATACACCTTCTCTTTTAGTATTCAAAACAAACCTTACATAAATAAACATTTGTCTGAAGCATGCAATGTTGTCTGAAGCATTATCTATTCAGAATTGTCTAAAACAAGGAGACATTTTCAACCATCTTTAGAATACACCATTAAAAAGGCCCATGGAATGAAGAAGCGATGGGAATTGAAGTGAATGCACCAGCTTCTTTTCATGCTGATATGTCAATTTACTGTTTGAAAACATAAAAACTACACAGAAAACTACAAAAACATTATATGAACCAGCAAGGAGGTTGGTGTAGAAGTAAATACTGTCATGTGTCCTGGATTCTGTGATGAATAACAGTGGGTTCTGGATTGGATGATTGAATTTATTGGCACTTCGATTACAATTACATCCAATTATAACAGCTCACATCCAATGACTGTCTATGATGGGCTCCATTCACTACTGGACTATGAATGTCTTCTCTTCTGTGTGACTGAGTCGGTCCTGATTTACGAGTCAGTCACTTCTTCATCTTCCGCTGACCGCTGGTTAGCACTCCACAGCTGAAAACTGAACTCTCTTACAGACGCTGAGTGACTGAAATCTCTCATAATGAACTCTCTTTTATAACTCCAGGCAAACTATATAGACCACCACCTCAAAGAGTTCATGTGTTCCTGTGTCTATTCATTGCCACAGAAACGTATTTACTGAACTGTTGTCTAGCAATGGAACACTTCAGCTTTTACGCATCGTGTCACAATACAGTGAAAAGTAGTACACTACATGTTCATGTATTGTCACCAGAATGCATGACAAAATCAAATACTGTCATGTATCAGTGACCAGACATAGACTTTGAATTGAATACTGAATATACTGAATGCTTATTACACATAACTACAAATAGAGCACTTTCACCATCCCGCACACTCTATAAATGAGTGCAGTATTCTAGTCTGCTGTCTTCACAACTCGTTGCTTGGTAGTGAATTCTATCAATTGCGATTCATTTTGCTGCTTCTGAGCTAATGGCCAACAGCTAACCACTGACTGTGACCGCTGACTCCAAACATCCTACTTGTTCTCATTATATAGCTTCAGCATGGACTGTATAGAAAACACTGTTCCAGTAGTTCCTCCACTGTTTCATATGCATTCGTTGCTGCAGGACTGTGTTTACCAAGCCACTGCCTATCAGCAAAGGTCTCTTGCTGCAAAATTCTGGCTTTCAGGCATGATGTTATAATATAAAGGTAGCTAATTATGGTGAGAAATGAATAACTATGAAGCAACGCTAACAGAGGGCACTGGATGAGTTCTACATTCTCTGTTGCCATGGGAAAACTGGAGTACTCAGAGAAAATCCTCTCCTAGAAATGCTTCGCCCTGTATACACCACAAAAAAAATACTTCTATATCCTCTGCTGGCATAGGTAAATTTAAGTACTCTGAAAAAAAAACCCTGCCCTGGAACCAGTTCATCCAACATGATCACATCTGTCATATGTACTTTATGAACTGAGGCTAGGAATGGTTGGGTAAGGGTCAAATTCTGCTGCCACTTAGTGATGGTCTGTCCCAAAAGAACTGTGTTTTAAAGGTCACAATAACAGTATGTGTAAGTCCATGAACCTAGAAAAGTTAAACATGAGTAAACAGCACAAACAACAAAATTGTTCCTCAAATTGCTGTGCAGATTTTTCTGCATATGCACACCATTGTAAAGAAACCTGTACTCACATCACCATTTGCAACTGCTTTAAACACTCCTTTAAGGCATTTTTTCCCGTGGTCATCAAGAGATGCAATGATTCCACAATCAAGTATCACTATAGTGACTGGACATGTTGACTTTGAAATTAAAAAAGGTGAAGTATGCCATGATTTTTTCTGAGTCATATCACTTGTTTCCTCTTCTCTGACCAATATATTTCCAGGATGTAGGTCACCATGGGCAAAATTATCTTCAAACACCTTAAAATAAATGTAATAACTAATAACAGACAAGAAAATGAAACAAAAGTAGCAGCACTTAGTACTAATGAATATGATGCCCATCACAGGAAGAGAATAGGCACAGGAACATGAATAGTTATCTTCAAAACCGGAACACAAATTATACAAGGGATGACCAGATAGTAATAGTATAGAAGAGGAAAAACCTACATTCAACAGACCACTGGGTATATAATTCACAGTATTACTAAGGTCTTTACCAGACTCAAAATGACAAGCATGGCAATCACTCTGGTGAATATGATGAACTATGACATCAAAACTGAATTCTTCATTGTGTGCTGAATGAAATGCACGGTATTATACCCACTGGTGTCTCATGAAATGCACCACTCCAGAAAGTACAGTAACATTTCTGAAGTTGATGGCACTAGAAATACTAAGTAAAATAGTTCAAAATGTGGGGTGGCATATAAAATGCAAGTCATGGAGAAATATAATGACCAGCACATCTGAATGAATACTGGTGCTAACTCTGAAGGAAGCTCCCACAGATTCTTGTGACACTTGCCTTTTTAACTTGGCAGAAAGCAGAGTGCATGTAAAAGCAAAACTGTCAGAGCAGTCCTCTCTGCACTGGTTACATTCATGCCAAGTCAATTTCTGATCACTGATTGCTGAGTTATTCTAAACATGAAAATTCAATACATTTTAAAATTATGACTAACTCAGACTGCAACTATTACCAAAATAAATTACACAAACAAAGAAATCTGTGTAAAGTAAGATGCCATGAACGTTTTACCCCAATTCTTTAATATAAGTATCTAATGATGTTTGAATCTTCAGGAAAATAATCAGAATGTTGCTTAATTTCAGAACTCACAACTTTTCCACATTATGTGAACAATAAAATAAACTCAGACATATAAAAACATGTTTCACAACTTACATGTACAAGGTAAATAAGACATGATCATGAAATATAAACTGAATGGTGCCTCCTTGTAATCACTGCAGTTTATCAATTTCACCTTACCATTTTAAGTACTGTATTGATGCCAAGCTCAGCTAGCCTGGCATTAACTGGTCTTGATGATCTGTCTGTTACATAATGCTGCATAGGATTACCCTCCTCAAATGTTTCCACCAATACATATTGTCTTACAAGGTGCCATAGTGGTTTCGGAAATCTGACTGACTTCACGTTGTTAAAGTTTGCAGCAAACCGTTCAAGGTTGCAGGCCTCTACACAAAGATTCACCTATAAAAACACCAAGTTATATGTATATACTCTTGAAAAACTTGCAGTTTGCAAATAAGTTCTGGTTTCATTTTAGACAAGTCTGTATAAGAGCACTATCTTCTGGGATATAATGCTGTGCAGTGCGCTGAAAGTCAACCAGTGTTTTGGAGGGACATATCGCCTCTGTCTTCAGAGTCGAAAAATAAGCCGAGCAAGAAACCAGCATGAAAGCAGGTGCCAAGCACAGCCTGCTTATATGTTCCTCCAAAATGTCAGCTAACTTTCAATGGACTACATGGCATCATATCCCAGAAGACAGTGCTCTTCCTAACTACTGCTGTGATAACCTCAAATCCCACAAGTCTGTTCATGACAACTTTTGATATTAAAAAAACAAGTGTGAAATGAAAAACCATTTCATCCTTACCAATTATCACACTGACAGATAAGATATGACTTCATGTGACAAAACAAAGTACAATCCTCATTAAATGTTTCACATACAATCCCACATGCCCATTCCTTCACTCATGTTTTGGAGCTGGAGGAAAAGTCTATTAAACAGACATAATTTTCTAAATAAATAGGTAGCTTTTACTGAAGTGCATAAAATACACCAAATTAAGCAAATGGTGCATATAAGAACACCAACAATAAAAAAATACATGTCATATAGCTATTCCTGTAACAGGCCATTGAGGCCCATATGGTTGAGACACTAAGGCTCCCACATTTTCTAGACAATCAGCTCACAGATGGTGGTGAGGTTGTCAGGCTTATGTGACCCTTTACTCCCAGGAACATTTCTGGTATTCACATCTGTTAGAGGCTGAGTCGACCCCAGGGCCATAGTGCAGATGGAAGTAGAAAATCCTATATATTCCTATATTATTGTTTCTTGGGTGATTCACATAGTGATGTTTCTGGGTGTGATTTCCTTTAAACCTATACAGCAGCAAAGCCTCATACCAATGACGTTTACTTTATGTACAAGAATTTTCTCTCTGGCTACATATTAGTGGGATACATTTCATGGAGCTTCCATGTGAAGCTGCAGTCTGTATTGTCCAGCAAGGACCAAAAGTGTGAAAGGTTTACTTTCTTTACCAATTGAACTGTACCCGATAGAGAGCCCATTATTAAACCAGGTATGTCTTAAACCCTTATTGGTTATGCATTGCACTACTGTACTGCATGTACCTGGCCCAGTTCTGTATTTTTAAACACCAAAACTGCTACCTCCAGAGCTAAAATCTTGCCACCAGTCCCATAAAAACAGTGAGATTTAAAATACCCTATTTTCAGATAATTATGTATTACATAAACTGTACTGAAATGATAAAATTGTTTATTTATTGTATTACAAATCTTTAATATAGATATTTTTAATGTAAGTTTGTTTACATTAGTTAATTATAATCAATGTAGAAAATAACAGGTCACTTTAACCTATTAACTGAAATTCAAAAGTAAATGAACTGCAAAAAAAAAAAAAATTAAATTTGTTCGATTTAAGGTTTTCACAGCACTGATTATGAAGAATATTATATTCTGGGATGTAATACCATGGAACTTGGACTATAAAGCATTGCATCTCAGATGACAGGACTCTTCAAAGACTGAATTATTCCTGTTATTAAAATGAGGTAAAATAAAGGATGTGATATCATACATAATTTCTATCATTAGCCAGTGACAATGTGTGATAATAAGACATGTAAATGGCAATGCACGAAACCGTATACAGTTTGCCTTGGGATGAAATATTGGTGGATCTAGATCACTTTATATATTAAACTGTTATCTCCTAGAAATTATGACACAGGAGGGCTGAAGGATTTTGTATTAAATACAAAACTGAACCACAGTAAAAACAATTAAAAAGAAACTGAACGTATCGAGCAATGTCCCATTCAAGAAATATTTCCTTTCACAAGATATGCTTCAGCTATCATCCTAAGCATGTTTAAACTAAAATGTCAGAAAGCAAATAGACCTGGGCTTCCATCAACTGTCCAAACTCTTCTACACAGTCAACAAGGCTGAGCCACTTTAAACTTGGAAAAATCCAGGTAACAGCAGATGCCACAGTTTTCATAATGCAGAGATCTCGCCTTGACATAAAAAGAAAATAAAATTAAATTTGATTTCTGTGACAAAAAGTTAAATACAGAGATAGGACATGTATAAGTTTGTACTTACTAATTCAGACTGCAATATGCAGTACTTATTACAATAGTTTTAACCTACTCCTCAACATACTTATCACTTACAACTATTCCAAAATGATAATTATACAAGACAACAAAAGCATTTTGCTGAAGAAACTAACCCACTCACTCCATGAAGCAGAGCTTCCAAGAAGTTTGATCATGTCTCAATGGGTAAAGAAATTCCCCAAATTTATGGAACCTAAAGGTTATTTTCATTCACAAGTCAAACGTATCAGAATGAATAAACACCACATATTTCTTACAACTTGTCTACCTTGAAATATTCCATAATGACCTCTTAAGTCCTACAATTTTATGAACACAGGTTGGTCATAAGAAATAATAGTTTATCAGTTGGACCGATTATGTGAGAAATGAAGAAGTGTTATTTAGAGTCAGTGAGCAGAGGAATATCCTACATGAAATAAGAAAATGGAAGGCAAATTGGATTGGTCATATCTTACGCGGTAACGGCCTTCTAAAAGAAGTTATCAAAGGAAAGATAGAGGGGCGGATAGAAGTGACCAGAAGACGAGGAAGAAGACGTAAGAAGATGCTGGATGACCTTGGGGACAGAAGAGGATATTTTCATTTGAACGAGAAAGCTCTAGATCGCATCAAGTGGTGGAACTGTTTTGGAAGAGACTGTGGACCTGTCATCTTGACAGATTACAGATGAATGAATATCAAGTTATGTGCATCAACAAAGAGTATATCTGTCACTTCTTTCGATGTTTCTAAATGAGAGTGGAATGAGTCACATATGTCACACACATATTCTTGGACTGAAATTTTAAATAAAAAGTAATATTTTTACTCTAGTAAACACAGAATTCACTTTCAAAAAATTCAACAAAACTTGCAAACACAGTGATCTAGAAGCCGGCATTGAACATGGAAGACCAACGTTTTTTGCCGACAATACTAGTATTCTTATAACAGGAAATAGTGCTAATGATGTCCAAAGGTAAATAAATAAAACAATAAATGCACTCACAGAGTGGTTTGAAAGGAATAGATCAATTATTAATAAAGAAAAAACAACAATATCCTTTCATCAACCTCAAAAAGTATAAGTTGAATGCCCATCAATAAAGCTCTATGATACATTCATCAATTATACAGAACATACAAATATTTTGGGAGTTTGGTTGGATAAGAATCTAAGGTGGACTGCACATACCCAACAACTAGCAAATAAATTATGTAAAATATGTTTTGCCTTACGAGTAGTCAAAAGAGTATCAGGGTTAGAGCCTGTTTGCACCTTATATTATGCTTATTTTCAATCTTTGTTATTATATGGATTGATATTTTGGGGCAATTCAGGTAATGCAAAATTGATCTTTAGGTTGCAGAAGAGAGCTATTAGAGCTATGATACAAATCCCAGAAACCATTAGTTGTAAACAATATTTTAAATCGTTACATATATAACCTTTACCATGAAATTCTAGTTTAAATAAAAACCAATTTGAATGTTTTCATAACCAATTCAGGAATACACTCACACAATACAAGGAGAAAAGAGGACTTGTTCATAGTGCCATGTAATATGAGTATATACAACAACAATTTCAATAATACTTGACTTCGTATGCTAAATCAGTTGCCACAATATATTAAAAAGATACCAGTACTATACAAGTTTAAAAAGACTTTGAAAACATTCCTACTTGATCATTGTTTCTACAGTATAGATGAGTTTCTCTTCTTTGGGGACAAATCCTAGTTCTAATCACTTGTAAACATATATTTCAATAATAATTAACTTGTAGATTTTAGTATTAGTAATGTTATAGGAATGCCTACTGTCCTACTCTGTATATTTTTCTTAAAGGAACGAGATCGAGGATACCAGGGTATTTTGTGCCGGGATAGAAGGATCGGGTCTTGAGGTGTACAGCGGTGTTGTGTATTAAACGATTATGTTAGTTCTATTATTAGAATCAGTATTGTATTAGCTTAGTATATTATCATTATATTATTAATTACATTATTATTTTATTATTATTATTTATTATTGTAAAGTATCTGACTTGTCCTATATCATGTATAATGATCCATGGATATGAAGTAAATAAATAATTAAATATTTAAAAAAAGTAGGTTAAGACTCTACTTTGAAATGATGGACCCTGCTTCAGGAAATGGTAACAAAAGCCAATCAACAGATGTTCTGGATTCCATTAGGAGCAAATAAGAAATGTTCCTCATTTGTACTACTGGTAGACTGCAAGAGTACACTGGGGACAAATCCTAGTTCTAATACATAACAAACCTACCTTTCCTCCCACATAACAAACATACATGTAAAACTAGAAGATTTTCTGTATGCGACTAGTCCAGATCAGCTCTGGGGCCTATCAACCCTCCTAGCCAATGGGTACCTGGCGCTAATTCCCTGGGGTTAAAGCAGTTGGGGCATGACACTGACCACTCACTCTGCCTAGCAGATAAAACAAGAATGCATGCAGCTATGCCTTCCTCCCAGTCATCTGCATGGCATGGTGCATAACTAGGCACAGGGATAACCTTCCATACTAGTAGTTCATAACAAATATAACTCATTTCTACTACCAATACACTGCAAAAGTATACTTCCCTTTTGTGAAAATAGTGAGTTGGACACTTATATAATGTACTGAAACACATGTCTGACAGCACCTCTAAGCACCATGGTTAAATAATGGCATCTGTTCCCTATACTTGCCTTAGAAGAGTCTCCATTCTAGGATGACGAACCTTCACAGCCACTGGGATCAACTCTATGGAAACAAGAAATACAATTGTTATATTGCAGTATCCAGATGCACTGCACAGATTTGACTTTGCATTTTGCTTTCATGAAATTTATGTGCAACTTTGGTTACTATTCATTCATTATTTTTCTTTATCGACACTACATGTTTCGGCCTAACTGGCCATCATCAGGTATACAGGTTGTTGTGGTTAAGGAATCTGCTGCTCACTGTAATACTGTTTAGTTTCTCTTTTGTGGTTGCCTTGGATTACTTCTGGTAGTGTGTGTTAACCACCTGTTTTAATTTTGTTGCTCTTGAGCTGCACGTGTTTGCTGTATGGTTTTGGTAGGTTTTTTGGCTGTGGCTGTCTTGAATGCTCTTGCTGGGGTGGGAGTTTATTGTGTGATGGTCTGCCACACAAAAAACTATCACCCCAGCAACAGGAGCAAGGAGCACCTATGGAAGGTTGTTGCATCACATCAGAGGGACTGGAACACAAAGAGTTCCCATCTTCCTCCTGGCTTACAAGGCATCCAGTCATGACACTACGGACTTGACCCCAGCTTCCCTAGTGTTTGGGAGAGAACTCTGGCTGCCCTGCAACCTGCTGTTTGGGGCACCCCCTAATAAGGAACAACTTACTTACTTACTCATGAAACTGAGCCCTTCTTGAGGAGCCGTCAATTCTGCATCTACTCAAGAATTTCCCAGCATTTTATGGAACCCGAAGGTTCATCACCGTGTTCACAAGAGCCCTCCACTGGTCCCTATCCTGAGCAAGATCTATCCAATCCATACCATCCCATCCTATCTCTCTAACATCCATTCTAATATTGTCCACCCGCCTACGCCTTGGTCTTCCCTGTGGTCTCTTTCCTTCTGGCTTTCCCACCAATATCCCATATGCATTCCTAATCTCCCCCATTCGTGCTACATGACCTGCCCACCTCATCCTCCTTGACTTGATCATTCTAATTATACCTGGAGAAGAGTACAAGTTATGAAGCTACTCATTATGCAGTTCTCTCCAACCTCCTGTCACTTCATCTCTCTTTGGTCCAAATATTCTCAACACCCTGTTCTCAAACACCCTCAGTCTATGAATAAGGAACAGCACACAATCAATTATGCAGAAAATTTAATTTACCATCTGCAGGACATTCACAATTATGCCTGCCAACACCTGAAGTTGGCCAGTGACGAGATGAAAACTCGTTATAACAGACTGGTCAACTGTGTGGACTACCATGAGGGTGACAGAGTGTGACTCTATCACCCAACCTGCACAATGGGGAAACTGCCCAAGCTCCAATCCTCATGGAAGAGCCCATACAAGGTAGTCACCCGATACAGGATCCAGCAGAACCCTAGATCAAGGTTGATAATGGTATACCCAGACCTGCTTGCATCTTATCACGGAGCCGCTCAGGATGAGCAGCCTTAAGGAGAGATCATTGTGAGAAGTTGGGGAGTAAACATTATGTAAATTGAAACACAGAGAGAAAGGTGAGGCCAAGCACAGACACTGCAAGCACAGCCCTCAGAAAGAAGAAATGGCAGTACACCTGTAGGCCATTTGGTATGAACAGCAATGTGGCGTACAGACCTGCTGCTATAAACCGACTGCCAGATGCATGGATATAACAGGGCCGTTCCTGGGAAACAGCACAGTAAACGTGTTCCTGTTGCTATGCAGCAGATTCTTAATAAAGCAACAGTTGGATGCAACAATAGAGGAGCTGTTTTTTCTGTGTGGTCAGTGTCGATATGTTACAGGCAAAGGAAAAAGTCAGTTGAGAGTAAGGTCTGTATGAGAGTCTATGAAGAGAGGACTTAAGCCAGAGGCAGAGGAATAGCCATTGTTGGAGCTGTTACCAGAAAATGTCTAGTAAGAGACTTATAACAGTAGATTGTGTGCTCTAGTGATTTATAAAGTGTGGAAATCAGTGATAGTATTATAGTTACTTGTAGTTATGAATTATAAGTGCTCAATAAGAGCAATTACCCAAAACCCCATTCATAGTCAAGACACATATTACATGACAATATGTTATATTTCTACATAACTGCCCTGCTTTTTTATGTATTTCATCAAGTGATTCACACTTTTCCTTATTCTATCGAACTAAAAACCTTTCAGTTGGACTTTTAAGTTATTCTTTCCTTGCTTCTTACCATGGCTCACATTCATTTCAGACTCAATGCTCATTCTTCAGCTACCTTAGGTACACTGGCCAGCCTGCTCCTTAACCATAGCTACTGCTACAGTTGATGGGCACCTTCATACACATCATCAAAAGCACACATCTGCACTCCATCGAACCTTCCCACCCATTCAACAAGCATAATGGTTCATGCAGTAACATATCTGCCTTGCATATAGGAGGGGTCCAATTCAAATCTCAGCCAGAACACCATCTATTCCAACTGAGATTTCTTGCATTTCTCCTGTCTCTACAGACATGTGGTACCTTTTGACCACAACCACTTCCTTCCACATCCCAATTCATTATTCACTTTCACTCAATCATGTAATGCTACATAGTCTAAGTTAATGACAATGGCATTAAACCATAAATCAACACATTTCAATTCATTAACAAACTTCCTCTTGGTACACAGTGTTTAATCAGTATCAGTAACATCTCATATAAGACTTGACTCATACCTCTCTTTGTTGAATTTCCCTGTTTATCTAGTCCCAGTGTCATTCTGAGCTTTTCTGTACCTTCATCTGACTTCTGATCTTTCATCTCCAGCAATCTGCCAAAACCAAACATCTCCATTCCTGCAATACAAGCAAGTCACTTCCAGTGCAGTGGGTCGAGTGTTCTATATGGGCACCAGCAAAACGTGTAGTGAATCTTACCCCCCATACACCTCCCATCAGAATTAGCTATAACAGAACACCAACTTCATCTGGTCAAGAAATTCCTCACTTTCAAACAAAAGGAGCATGGAGCAATCTAAGAGTCAACCCCTTTTTCTTCATAATGCAAACTCTTCACTTAAAGCCAGAAAACACTTCATTAGTTTGCCCTTTTTAGTATGTTCTGTTGGTGTAAGGCACAAAAATTTAATGCAGTATGCAAGTAAAAAAGAAATTCTGTTTTGTGCAACCATCCACACTAGTCCCAACAATTTAGTGACAATTCAAACAACATCAGAACTTAAACAAAAATATTTACACATGACAAGTTATATCTATTGTGTCTACAGACACGCTGATACACATACATGCAAACATAATACCTTATACACTGTAAGACAGGTAACAGAAATAGTGTATGAAAACACAGCACTCACGGGTGACAGCATATAACAGAACAATATGGTCCATTAGTTTAACTACACGAAGAACCATAATTCAAGATGGGGAGTGGGGGTGTTAAAAACCAGTAAAAACGAATGGTTAAACAGATCTTAATGGAACTCACCAAAGTTGTGTAGAATATACCTATCTAATATTAAAAATATTTATTCAATTTGATCCATTTGTTACAAAGAAAAATTCTTTCCATTTTGAACCGGATTTTCATATATCACAAATTGTTTATTACCTTCAATAAAAACAGAATCTGCAGAGTCCTCAATGCAATCATTAAACCCATCACATGCAGTTAGTGCTGCTGGATCAATCCATGCCTTGTATACCTGGCAAAGATCAAATGAAAATAGCCACCAACAGTGTCTTAGTAAATCATGTTGTAATGTTTTCCTTCAATCAGTACTTATACGGAAACATTTCTTTTAACAATCTGACGATCAATGTGAAACAAAGTCAACATAAGAATGCACTATGCATATTATCACTGGGCCATTAATACAGAAACTTGAGATTTTTTGGAGTCATTTTAAATCTCCATAGCAAACTATGGTCTAATTTTTGCTAAATGCAACAAGAAATACTGTAATTAAAGTTCTTAGTTAGAAGAAATATAATCTTCTGCCTAATGAACAGTCTTCAATTGAGAGTTTAAATTCTAATGTAGGATACAGATTGGTTTAAAGCAACACAAGAGGCTTGTGACTGGTATCGGGTCCACAGCAGTGTGATAACATTAAGTTTCTGACAAAGTTAAATGGAAGACACAAAAAACATGCCTTACAAATCATGCACTTTTGTAACATGAGACACACAATCAGTCAGGGGTTAAGCTTGCTCCATACCTGCTTATTAAATGCTGGATATGATATGGGGCAGAAAATGACACTGTATAACAAGTGATACATATCCAATGAAATCAGGAATTAAACTGTGGGCACTGATACATTCATCCCAAGTATACTATATGTCTAGCAAAATTAGATGCATAGCCTCCAACTGGAAGTACAAGTTGCAAGTTACTTAACAAGAGTGCACCAACTTCAGAGATTACTTAGTGTCAAATAATGTTAGAGGATGACACCTGGTGAACCTAAAAGGGTTAAGAAGAAAGCAGACTCAGTCTATTTCAAGATATCATACCAGCATTCACCTGGACAGACTAGAAAAACCACAAAATCTCTCAATCTGGGGGAGCCCATCTAATGACCAAAAATCAAACCTGGGGACTCCCAAACATGGAGACAGTTTTCAAACATGACAGTGCAATATTCAGTCTCTAGTCCGAAACTGGGGCAGAAGAATTGAATAAAACCATGAAAATCCTGTTAAGATACTCAGTGTCCTGGCAAAGCTTCAAATTGCATGCAGACAAATATGGAGTCATGAGTGTTACTACCTTAGATGCAATTTGGTCACAAATTTAAATTAGTCAAAATAAAGGCTTCTAGTATGATTTAATAAAAGTACAATTATAAGAGGGCATTTAGGAGGCATACCAAAGGAAGGAATCTCGGCATCATAATCTCCTAAGATACATATCACTTTTTACTTCCATTTACAGTGTCACTGTATTGCATCCCTACACCATTTCATTCAAGGTAGCATCTCACAAAAGGTCATAACTCCTTCCTATCTAATAATAGTTGGCTTCTTGTATTCTGTGGTAATCACAGGTCTGACAGCTGTACCCAGTAAAACCTCTTTTGAGCTATATGATGCTCTCGCACTGACAAAACTTACCACATCAGCTAACAATTTGCTTCTCATAATTTGCCATTATCTTCTTAGTTTATTTAATGAAACTCCTTTTCAACAGCATATGTTGCACAGTGTCAAATGGGTAAAAAATAAAATTATTGCCTTCAATGATGTACTGAGAGTATAAAGTGTTCATGGCCAATGATACAACACTATGTCAAAATCTGCCTTACAGGACAAATGGAAAGCATAAAAACTTTAAGCAAGATAGTCACTCTCCAGGGTGAAAAATGAAACTCTGAACCTCTGAAGTATGAAGCAGGAGTTTCACCCATTCTATCATGACATTCAAAAGGTCATATGTCTCTTTACCATTGAAGGTCACATTTATCCTAAATAGACATAAAAATGTATATTTTCTATGTGTGCCACAACAGAGGTGCTGGAAACTTTCTGATGCTGGCCAATAAATATCTGGACCATAACCCAAAGAAAACATCAGTCAAGATGCTCATAATTTTGCATGACCATGAAAGGATTGCCAATCAGATCAGGCCATGGCTACTGCTCAGAGAATTTGTTAACAAAACAGTACATTAATGATTCTTGTGTGTTATCTTCTGCCACTAAAAATATGTTCTTAACTTTCAATTCTGTAATTCTCCCTTTTCTCCTGGACTTTATCTTCATTAGTGTTATCTTCAAGATTTTTCCAGAATTATCTTTCTTTCTAATTATAATTCAGTTTCTTTCTTTGATATTGCTTGCAACAGCTGTACAAAGCCCACACACTATCTATAATTCTTCCTTTGCTTCTTCCAAGTAGAAAAGTAATTTGTTGTCATTTTGTTTCTTTCTTGCAAAATGAAGTACAGTAAAACTTGGTTATAGCAACATCGGTTTCTGCGACACATTGTCTATTGCGTCAAATATTTAATGGTACGAACTAATTCCTCATAAAGCAACTGTTTTTATACCTTGCTTAGTACGACATGCACAAATGCATCAACCTCGTATGTAACGTCATTTTCATTCCTGAATTTCTCTGATATCGTAGGAAAGTTCGATGTGTCTGCCCACCCTCACTTTCTCTACTTGCTGATGTGACTGTCCTGGAAGAATACGACCGCGGGCTGCAAGAGGAGCGTGGGATTTATGCGAAAACAAGGTTGTGGGGTGGGACTGCGTGAATAGTGCAAGAGGACGCGGCAGGTTGTTAACGTAATTTAGAAAGTGTGTACTGGGCAAGTAACAGGAAACAGATGAAGATAACTGATTACTGTACTCGTATCTAGGTACAGTAAGGCACAACAATTGATGTAATCTACTGTAATTTGGTGAGTAGGCCTACCTTTAATATACAGTACAGTATTAGTACGGTGTGTATTGTCAGTGAAAAGCGCTGTAATATGTCTTTGATATTACACATTTGGGCAATTCCACGTTAATGTTACGTTAGTCTGTACTTAACTACGTATTTCACTAAAAAATGCAACATTTTAACTCGGTTTTTGGTAGATTTTTACGTGACTAACATAAGGCTACTGTGGAAGTGCCCATTTCGGTTACAACAACATTCGTTTATAACGACACTATCTTTAGGTCCCTTTGATGACGTTATAACCAAGTTCTACTATATCTTTAAAACGTGTAAAATGTTTCTACTTGTGTGGAGAAATACATAAAAGCCAATAAATATATTATTAATAATAAGGGATGGATTGTGGAAATCACTGAGGCTCCAAAATATAAGAAACAGGATTAAGTCATTCAATGTAAGCCCAGAAGGCCCTTTACCTGAGCACAGCAGCCAGAACCAACTGGCTCCTTGTTGTTATCAAACTTCACAAATATGCATTTCCAATAGGGTCCAAAGGCCCTTTCTAAAGACTTCTTTGTATAAAACCATGAATGAGCTCTTGTTTTTCTCTGGAGCTTCGCTAAACAAGAGCACAATTCTTCTGGAAACAAATCTCTCCTAGTTGAGGCCCACTGACCCAGCTTCACAAATACTGGACCAGAAAATTCTAAACCTACACAAAAAATATTTAAAAATTAAAACATTTCTAGTAAAATATAATATGTAGCACATATAGACTACACGCTAATGAAAATTAATTTTTCTCAAAGCCCCCCCCCCATAAAATATAATTGCCAATAATAATATAGAACACTTCTATTTTTGTTTTACACCATATTCATACCCCGTATCTTTGGCATAAACCCTCTCTGTTGTGTGTTCTTCATACTGTCACATGAATGAGTGACTATATAACACTTTATGTATCACTGTCATACAAAGACTAGTGTCCTCAGTCACTGTCTTCACTGCGCTGCTTGGTAATATCTGTCCTCAGTCACGGTTTTCACTGCGCTGCTTGGTAATATCTTCCAACAGTGGACGTTATTCTGCTCCCTGGCTCACAACCTTGCAGGCCAGCAGACTTCTCACACCAATCTCCCCCTCTTCTAACTGATGATTGGCTCAGAGCAAACGTTATGCTAGGATTGACAATCAGTTGGTATCAAGCACTCATCTGGGACCAAGACCAGATTTTTATTACTGTGAAGTCATTCTCAGGTCCGAGTATTGCTAGTGGGGTGGGACTAAGTCCCTTGTACTGCGGCCACTTCTGGCCTATTGTACCAGACCCAGATGATAGGTGAGGGTGATTGTGGAGCAATTGGTGGAATGAAGATTGGCAGGGGAAACCGAAGTACTCGGAGAAAACCTACCCCAGCGCCACTTTGTCAACCACAAATCCCACTTGACCAGACCCATGATCGAACCAGGGCCACCACGCTGGGAAGCCCGCGACTAACCGCTTGAGCCATGGCGCGGCCAGAAGTTCAGGTCTGAGTACCACAGGAGTCATGAACATATTGCAATGTTTCAGATTTGAGACTCCCCCAACATGGAGGGCCAGAAAGAGTTACACCTCTAGGCACTCAGTTCACCTTTTGTCACTTCCTATGACTTGCAGGGCTATGGTGAAGGTATTCAAACCTACCTCCACATGGGGGACTGAGAGTCAAATTCGAAGTCAAAGTTACTTTATGTCTGGCAGTTTACTATCAATCAGTTCATTTTGCTGTAGCCTTTTGAGACTCACGACCACAGATTTTTTTTAATTGAACCCTTGTGGTAACATTCTCTCTGATGAGAAGATGGGTTGCCTCTCACGAATATGTTTCGCCTTTTTTTATCGAGTGTACATATCATACATATGGCATCTTATTAAAAATTCTTCCTTTTGAACTATATACAAGTCCTCTGTCAGTCAAGTCTTTGCAAAGCAGATCATGTCTATTTTACGTATCTTATGCTACAATGGCAGCTTAGCCACCTGAATGATCATAAGCTTGACCACCACCAAGTCTAAGCCTGTTATATTTTCTGTTTGGCTTCACCTTGTCCTATCCCGTGAACATGTTCATTCTCATAGAACTGACTCTAACTGCTCTGTTTATAAGATCTCAGCACAGACAACACCATTCCATTACTGCTATGTAATTGTTACCATGGAAACATGCTTGCTTGCAAAGCCATTACTTAACAACGGCTGTTGTGTAGCTGCTTCTTTTGTGGTCGTTGCCTAGCAATGAGCCTACATGTCACAATATAAATAATTTGTACCTGGTACAAAATGCAGATTTCATTGCAAGTTAAATTTTTTATCTTAAATATTTTCCATTGTGGCGAACATTTAGTGAAATGTGACAACAGTTAACTTCTAGCATCATGGTATTAGTAGCTTTGCAACAGCACACCTGTATCTACAACCTCATTAAATGACCCAATGTTGTTCTTTCTGTTTTCAAAGGCAAGACAGATTCTCCCTAAGCAGACTGTGGAAGCCACTTACCCACTCCCTGAAATAAAGGTAGAAGAATGTTCCCTACAAGGACAAGATAGTTACTTCCTCCTCAGATGGCACTCTGCCACCAGTGCCTATGAAAACAAGACTGATTTCTCACTTCAATTCCGATTCCATTCTCACTTTTCCATTTCCTCCCTGTGATAAAAACAATAATGTAGCCCTGAAAAGGGCTATCTTTCCTCATAATTTCATTCATTTCTTATGCCCTGAAAATTACAGTCTGCTTGTTCATTATTCCCACTGGCATGGACCAGGCTCCATCTCTTCTCTTCCACTCATGCAACAAAATGATGGCATTCCCTGAAATCTATTTATACAACTCAACTGATTCCTCACCCCACACATTTCAACCTGAAGAATGAGGTGGCATATTCCTCTGAAACTCTAGTATCTGCCTACAAGACTGCATAATGCCACAACATAGAAGACAGCAATCTGAACAACCACTGCCATGAAAACTTAAAAATTTTCATAAAGGAATTCAACTTCGTTCACAAAGATATTCCATGTATGGATTAAGCATGTATGACTATGCATTTAATTGTATAAAAAATATATAAATTGGAATTGTCCTGCTACAACATATGGACCAGCCACCAAGATCAAGGAAGTCTGTAAAGTAACAACAAATTCATGTCAGGACATGAAACTGTAGTATGAGTAATGGATTTCAATGGAGATAGAATGTAAACATCAGGAAGGGGGGACAATCTGAGAGACAAACACTGACTTTTGTGGATACTTTTGTTGCATACTACAATTTCTGATGAAGTGAGCACTGGAGTAAAATAATTTGTACCAGGCAGACTGAGGAAACTGATGACTACATATTTGAAACCATTCTGTTACTTTCTTTGGTGAATTATTTTACAGTGCTTTCAGTATTACAGACTTGGTGTCAAATGCTATGGAAAATATCTGGAAGGAACTGGTTGTGGCCCAAATAAGGTACCATCTTGGCATTTGCCTTAAGGGACTGTGGAAAAACATGAAAAACCTCAGTCAGGATTACCAGTGTTCCAGACAAGATTTGAACCAAATNCCCCCCCCCCCGGCAAAAAAAAAATATAACCCTTCTTGTGTTACCAATATACCAACCTGTTCAACAGTATTACATTAAAAAGGAATTAATTTTAGATAATGAACTGAAGAACTGGACTAATTCTTTTGAAAATTTTTTATTTTTGGCTCCCACATTTTCTAGACAATCGGCTTGCAGATGGTGGTAAGGTTGTCAGCCTTATGTGCTGACCGGCCACGCTTTACTCCCAGGAAGATTCCTGGTACTCATTTGTTAAGAGGCTGAGTCGACCTCAGGGCCATAGTGTGGCTGGAAGGATTAGGTCAACTGAAAAATCCAAAGACCTCACTGGGAATCTAACCCATAACCTTGCGGCTTGTAGCACTGTGCCCCCCTCATTTGGCTGGGAGTATAGAGGAAAACAATAAAAACTGGTCAGGATAGCAGGACCCAGGCAAACACTATCTAAATCTGAATGTAACTCTGATGTGTTACTGTTATACCAGCCTGCTCAGTACATGTATTTTAGTTTTATTAAAGTGTGTAATATGTAATAATTTGTTTTCACTTTGATTCTCAGATCAAATGTGTTTTAGTTTTTAATAATTTTATGCTGCCTTCATTACTTAAATGTTTTGTGCTTTTCCTACAATGACTTGCTCTGTATTTATTTACACACTAACTTGGTCTAAATAGTCATTAACCAGGATCTATCAATTTCATACAATCTACCTGGCCATCTATATAAGTTATCAGTGCACCAAGGGCATTTCATACTGAAATGTGGATCATACTTGGTAGGTGCTCGGGGTTTTGACAGTATAAGAATTGTGGATGGAAGGCAGGACCATATCGTTTCTAATTTTTTTCGAAAACACAATACCGTGGTTCATCTTAGAGTTATCATAACCTAACAAAGAACTGCAAACTGCATTTAATGTCATACTCGGGTTCGTACAATGGGGGCCATACAGCACCAAACTTCCATCATACTAGCAAAGAGAACGCTTCAATTGAATAAAATTAATGCTTACCGAAAAGTAGTAATTTATACCACAAACTCTTCAAACGCATACTGATCAACGTAAACGGATACATAATAGCTAGAGGGATAAAAACACCAGTTAACTGGACGACCCTCAACAATATCAGGCAGAAATCCCAAATCTTCCAAACAGCCCATGCGAAATAACTGAAGATGCCTCTTTTATAATTTTTGGTAACTGCAGGAATGTGGCCTGACGTGTTCTCTAGCGACAGGCTGAAAGTCCTTTTTCTCAAAACTTCATCACCATACGTCGATAATAATGTGGAATTTAATGCGACGTACTTAAATTGCATCACTCTTGCAGAAATCCATGTGGATTTAAAAAAATCCCTTGGATTAACTTTAAACCTAACACTTTCTAAACTCTTTACGCACGACCTCCCAGAAAGTCTGTGCATTTCCAATGTCAGCGTCCTTACAACTCTCTTTACATTACAACAGCAAAGTTCTGACACAAACATTTTAAAATAAATTTCTGTTCCGTCTTCATATCCTTCATATCTCCGCTAAGCAAGACGCCTCTTTACGCTCTTTACATTCTAGTTCAGTGTAAACAATCCCAAAATGAAGCACGTAACTATGTTTTGTTATCACTTTCGCTGCATACATTCTTAACTTTCTGCAGGGCTAACCAAATCGCAACAAACGACACAGAAAATTTTAACACGACTGTAGTTCATGTACAAAGAAAATGTTAACATATATAAATGTAATGGAATATTTACTTGCCGTTTAAAACAGTTTCAAGGTTATGTTTGACGAACGCATGGTAACCAACATAAACACCTTTCGTGGCGAAACGGAATGTAACGTCCGATTACGATTGCAGCTCAAAAATTAACATAACCGCATAAAGAGAATTGGGCTGATTAAAAAAAAAGCAGATACGTGAAACGGCACAGTTAACAGATGTTTCCCCCCTTCTAAGATACGAATTTTTCAAGACTCTACAATTAATTATAAGAGTACCCCACCATTAAATGATTACACTTCAGGGGCATATCCTACAAGTCACCCAGAATTTTAAAAATGCCACATAAACAATAGTTTTATTCGTCACCATTACTGAGTTAAGCACTACTGTGGTGTAACACTAAATACAAAACCATTTTCCTTTGAACTGCTTTATTAACTTCAAAGTTTACAACTAAGTTAACTTCTCTAATTACACTATTAACTTAAAAGTTTACAGCTACATTACACTTCTGAAATTACCTCCTTTGCCTTGAATACATGCAACTCATGTAAGAATGATCTACAGAGACGAAATAAATACATACATACAATCCACTTAATTTGTTTAGCAGTAGCAGCTTTGTCTGTATGGTCCAACAACTACAGAATTTCACTATGGAAGAAATACAATTTAATGCTATATGGAGATAAGCAAGTGACAGCAAATGACATTGTTTTCCAGTCTTTCTTAGGGACCCAATTGATTAGGTGTCTTCTCTATCCCCTCACCTGAGGTCCGAAACAGATCCAATTCCCAAAACGTTGTTTTCTAGTTTCTAGAATACTAGACAATGGACAAAGTCCAAAAACCCAGTGATTCTGGGCAATGTTGCTGATTGGTAATAAGGGAAAAGTGACTCCTGTCCAGACACATAAACAGAGGGCACTGATGCCAAGAATATAAACTACTAAGGAATCACTTTAATGCAAAAGCCTTACCTTGTATTGTTCTCAAAGCAGTAATTGCGGACAGAATGTCTTAAAAAACACAAACCATACAATTATAACTGAACAGCTAATGACCTATCTCTGATTGTTTTCTTCACCCTCCTTGCCACTTGTTTCTAAGTCATCACTTTTCTCTTAAATTTATGCATTATGTAACTGCGTCCTGGCCTATTTCTTTCTCAAAGTCCTCCAAATCATTATTTTGTGTGATAAGTAAAATCCCGCTCCCCTTAGTAACTCTCTGCTGCTTGATTCATTAGCCTAACAAAAAAGTGTCATTGAGTTGGGGGCTTCTTCCTTCACTTTAACTCATTTGACTTCTACTGGGTTACACTGACAATGGTAATGAGATAGTCTGATTACCACATAACCCCCAATTAATATTACTTCACGTAAGGTTTTCTCTCTGTGATCCCAAGCCAAAAAATTCAGTATGAATTAAGATTTTCCTCAGTTTATTGTACAGATCCATTGGCCCCCAAAGAAACCTTAAACAGGTGTTTCAATGCAGGTGTTCCATTTCATTTACTATCTTATCTAGTTCACTCACCTTTCCTCAACATTTATATGGTGTAATGCAAAGGAGTAATTCAGGTATGGTTTCCGTAGGTTCATATATAATACAGCTCTCTTGTTTTAACCTGTGATATGGACTTTGTCTCTGATGGTGGAGTGGTAGCTGGGATTGTCTACAATAACAATTACTCTTCTGGTCAATTTATGAATCTGCTTACATACAAGTCTTTAAACCTATCAACATTAATCATAGTATGATGAGTAAAAGATCCACTTTCTGTCTGTAATAAAGCCTGCTTATGCTGATCCTACTTGACATACAGTAAGCCTTGCACTCTTTTGGAGAAACTTTCAAGCTTCCTTTCTTGATGAATCCAGCCGAATATAGTTTTCAGATGGTTTCGTTACCATGTTTCATCTAAATAGAAAACAGGGCTCTCAACTAATGAAATTCTAGGCTGCGGATCGTTGCAAGGAATTTAATTCAACCACCTACAATGTCTCCTCTTTCCATGAAGAATTTGCATTCATTACTGGCTTTCTTGCACCTGAACCCAATGGAATTAAAAGTAAGTACACTGATACAGAGCCACCATATTTCTTTTGTCTCTCAATTCAAGAGTTTCTATTCAGTGGGAAATTCTCAACATTAGATCTGGAAACAGTACAGTGAAAAACACCAATGCTGAAGTTGTCTAAATTTGTAAGCCACTTCTGAATATCATGTCTCTTTCTAGGAGACCTGAATACTGGAAAGCTTTTCTGCAGAAATTATATCTTAGCTTTGGTATAAATCCATGATACTGTGCATACACTGACTGTACCACAAGTCTGAACATGCAATTTATACACTATTAAGAAATCTGGCTTTGCATGCTCATTATCTGATGAAAATTTATTTATAAACATATTGTGACATGTTGACCCCCACCTCCCCAGCGGTACGTGGTGGTAACGTAACGCTCGCGTTCTTACGGTAATAGGCGAGTTCCCGCCCCGCCACTCCCCTCCGCGGTGACGTCACCGAGGGATATCGCGGTCGCTAGGCAACGCGAGTCAACAGCGGCGACGTTACGATAGTAACAGTGGTTACTTCCGCTAGCGTTACATAGCAACACAGCGCCAGGCAAAAAGGGTGCCTATTACGTGGCCGTTTTCCCGTACTGTCCGATCGAGGCTACATACGGAGCAGCGAAGGCTATTCACAGTTAGTTCTAGTGTGGCTACCGCAGAGTTGTACTGAGTCAGTCAGCGAGTCCTGGACCTATCGTCGAGTTAGCCAGCAACCAGTCAGTTGTATTGTGGCATTTGGAGTGTACTATTTGTGATACTGCAGATAGCAGTAATCGTCAGATTGTAATTTGGGTGATTGTGAGAGCGGATGTGAAATAAAATTCGCTATACAAAATACGGCGAGAATTTATTTGTCGCGATATACGCCCGATACGCGACAATATGTATACTGCAAATAATTTTTCTACCTTGTTGGCACAAAACTTTACATAAGCAACAGGTTGAATATGATCTTGAATGTTACAGTACATTTTTATTAAGACATGATATATGCAATATTCTGTTACCCTTCAACTGATATGGAGAACAAAGTTTTCTCAGCATGAATGCCAGACATTAAAGACCCGAGTGGATTAAAAAAGTCTCACATCTATTAACTTTACTATACTGGTGGCTTCTCAATGTCCTAAAAAATTTTAGTATAAATGTTAAGGTAATATTTATGTAACAGAAAACAAACAAACAATCAGTTTTATTATTGTTCATTTTCAATTTGAAATGTAATTTATATACACTACACTGGTTCCCTTAAACTGAAACTTTCCATACAATCAAATAACCACTGGACTGACAAAGATTTTATATGGGCCATATTGTACTTTAGTTTGGGTTCATTTCTACCTGACCTGTATATGACATAATGTGAACATTTTGCTAATGAACCATTGTGTGCTGCATGGTAAGGAACAGTGCGTTCCCCTGATGGAATGCTTTCTGGGTCAGGTTCCCTTGACAACACCAATCCATTCCCACTTCGGATTAATGTCACTACATCTGTTTTGGTTAGCCTGCTATTGTCAAATGTATACGTAGCTCCAACACCAGCCAAATAGATGTGGCACCCATTGAAGAGACCTGGAAGCTGAAACAGTACCTCTGTTGTCAGTACAAAGGTTCCATAAATATTATAGTGGAACCCTCATTTAGCATTCCTCAATTTTAGTTTTTCTTCATTTAATGCACAATTTCAACAATCCTAAGTCAATAATATCAGTGATATATCATCTACATTTCAGATTTTCTTCAGTCCAGAGTTTAAATCCACTAGTCTCAGGGGAGACCTTAAACAAGGGTTCTACTGTATTCAAAAAACCAGGTAAACTATTCTAGTACATCAATATACTTTCAAGGATAATGGAAGCATAGATGTGACAAAAAAAAATGCTTCATGGGCCAAGAAATGGGAATGATAAGAAGGATTGCAAATATCCAGTTTCAAACCTACATAATAAAATCAACCAATACATTAAGATTCTAATGAGATCGGTATTAATGAATGTCATAACTATATGTTATAGTTTTGTCTGCAGAAAATATATTACTTTTGAACATACATATTTTTACTGGCTTCACAAACTCGATATTTGTTAAATCCCCTTGGTCATAAAAGCATAGTGCTGCCCATGTTCTGGGCATTACAGAATTCTGGCATCATACAGCTCATGAAAGATGACCATACAATATGTGGAAGAGAATATTTTGGATAATCTGTCGTTGGGGATTTCTGTACAAAAATTGGTGCAGTGAAATATGTGATGAAGTATAAAAGTAAAAAAAGTAAAGGTATCCCTGTAACAGGCCGTGTAGGCCCGTAGGGTTGTGAGATGTCGAAGTTTCCACATTTTCTAGACAATTGGCTCATAGATGGCGGTAAGGTTGTCAGCTTTACGTGCCGGCCACCCATTACCCCCAAGAATATTCCAGGTACTCATTTCTGTTAGAGGCTGAATCAACGCCAGGACCATAGTGCGGCTGGAAGGATTAGATAAATTGAAAAAATCCACCTCGTTGGGATTCGATCCCATGACCTTCCGGCTTGTAGCATAGTGCCTCAACCAACTACGCTACCACGTGCCCCCACGTGATGAAGTATACATGGGAAAATTATGTAGCAGAAAAACACAGTTCACTGAACTACTGGTATCCTATTATTTTCCATGAGCTATTAAAATGGTCAAATGCCATTTTGCATACAAAGATTTTCCACATCTTAACATCTTATTCAACAAAGGCTGCATATGAGGATTATTACCATCATCTTTTCCATTTTCAGACTGTCGTACTGCTTTTTGTCTTACTCTATTNGTTTAATTGTCTTAATAATTTATAGGGCTGAGTTCATGTTTGGAAATGGGCAAGGTGATACATCCTGAAGAGTTTGAAGTAAGAGGAACGAGTCATTTTCCTAACAGTGATGCCCCGAAAAGAGGAAGGATGAATGCAGAAAAGCAGGTTATTAATTCCAAATTTAACTATAAGTATGTTTAGGTCATATGTCTGTAATGTAAAGTTTTCTCTCCTCACTTTCCTACCTTCCTGTTTTGTCCAGTCTTGTTCTGTTTTGCAGTCTGGTATTTATTAGTCATCACCAGGCAGTATGATGGTTCGTAAATACCAGTAATAAAGGAGATGTATGATATCGAAACCTAAGTGGGAACAATTCAGTATATGAACATTGATTAATAGTTAACTGTGTATTAAAAATGTATAATGTCACATTCGTTCATGGAATGCTAATGCCAAAGTCAGGCAACTTATCCTTCTTAAAGAAAGTCGTCTTCTGGGTTTAGGCACCGTGTATTCTTCGTTTTGGCCAAAACGAAGAATACACGGTGCCTAAACCCAGAAGACGATTTTCTTTAAGAAGGATAAGTTGCCTGACTTTGGCATTAGCATTCCATGAACGAATGTGACATTATACATTTTTAATACACAGTTAACTATTAATCAATGTTCATATACTGAATTGTTCCCACTTAGGTTTCGATATCATACATCTCCTTTATTACTGGTATTTACGAACCATCATACTGCCTGGTGATGACTAATAAATACCAGACTGCAAAACAGAACAAGACTGGACAAAACAGGAAGGTAGGAAAGTGAGGAGAGAAAACTTTACATTACAGACATATGACCTAAACATACTTATAGTTAAATTTGGAATTAATAACCTGCTTTTCTGCATTCATCCTTCCTCTTTTCGGGGCATCACTGTTAGGAAAATGACTCGTTCCTCTTACTTCAAACTCTTCAGGATGTATCACCTTGCCCATTTCCAAACATGAACTCAGCCCTATAAATTATTAAGACAATTAAACAAAAGTACTGCCAGGAACAAATTAAGAAAAAGCAAAATCTTACATTGCAAGACTGGAGCCATTAAATTTATGAAGATTCACAGCAACTGACAGGTCAGACATCCTGGCTGGAGTTCTCACAGCATTTTAGTCTGGTAATTCAAAAGAGTATGTGGTGAGTTCGCCATGGTTATGTAGTTCAGTGCATAGTACACAGCATAATGGAAACCTGGTTACTTAAGGAGCCTACATTGTAACTACTTATTTTACTGACAGAATAAATAAAAACAGACTAGTAACATTCCTGATTTTGGTCTTATTTTAAATTACCTCAATTCAAGCCCCTCAGCACTGCAAAGAAACTGTGAAAACCATACTCATATATGATATACCTTCAAAGGAGGTCACATACTTAAGTACATTCACATATATGATTTTAATATTAAACCCAATGTAATCATATTATAGAATCCAACAAACATTAACTTTACACTGGAATATAATCTACAGATCTCAAGAGATAATATTCTTAAACTATAAAGGATATAATTTCTTACATTTCTTTTTGCACATAACTTCAGTTCAGTGATACTACTATGCAACTGCATTATATATTGTCATGTTTTGTGGGTGTGACTATAGACAGGTTATGGTTTTATTGACCACTTATATACAACGCTCAGAACTACAACTAATTACAGCACCACTGCTAATCTCTACAATTCACAGCTCACCACAGCACCTGCTAAGTTTTTTTTTCCAGCCTGGTGTGTCTTCCCTAGCAACGGCTTCTAACAGTGGAGATTCTCCAGTTTCTGTCCTCATATTGTTACTGTCTGGCGAGTATCCCACAACTAAACTCATATCAACTGCCAACTCACTATAGTGCCATCTCTTCAAAGTCTCTCTTGTTGAGCTCAACTCAACTGCCAACCCTCAACTGAAGTCTCACTCATCAACCATTTCACTTCACTTAAATGAATTGGTCAACTTAATTATCTTTGAGATAACTCCTCAATGTGGACCACATCAAAAACACCGTTCCTCTATTGTGTGCACATTTGTTTCCATGGGAATGTGTTTACTGAGCTGTTTCTTAGAAACGGGTTGCATAACCCTGTTTTTCTCATCGTGTCTGTGTATGTTGCGGGCATTACCTATCAATTACTGCTGTTTACACAGTCACTGCTTAGCAATAGGTCTATATGACACAATATATTCATATGATGGCCACACGTTGGTCGCAGTTTATGTCTATGAAACTTCCCCATTTGATAACGAAGTTGCTTCAGAAATTACCTCTCAACAAAGATGTACAAAAATTGAGAGGTGCAGTTCCATGCCAGTATACTACTGATCACTGCATAAACACTAAGAAGGTTGGACCTTATAAAAGCAAATGTTGCCCCACACCATTACAGCAACATTTTGTTCCGCTGGCATAGTAAGATGTAGTAACCACTGCGGCAGCCCAGGTTCGATCTCGGGTCTGGTCAAGTGGGATTTGTGGTGGACAAAGTGGCACTGGGGCAAGTTTTCTCTGAGTACTTAGGTTTCCCCTGCCAATCTTCATTCCACCAAATTCTCATTCATCATGATCACCCGGGGCAGGTTACAATAGGCCAATCAGTGGCTGCCGTGCTGAGTGGACCCAGTTGGACTCCACCCCCCACTAAGGGAATTAAATAAAAAGAATGTAGTAAAATTAAAAGAACCTTCCCATTAAACTCAATGCCCTGGGGGGGAAATGGGCTGAGACCACCACACAGCAGCTTCACTTACTTATTTCTGGTTTATTTAATGACATCCTCAAGGGCTCAGATTGTAAAATGCAGAATGACAGAATGAACTGAAGAAGATATGGAAGGAAGTGGCCATGGTGTAATTTGAGGTACTATCCTAGCCTTTGCCTAGAAGGGCTTAGGGAATTCACAAACTCCTGTCAGGATAGTTGGATTCTAGGCTAAGATTTGAACCTGGGACCTCCCAATTTCAAAGCAAGAATGCTATTCACTTGACTCTTTTGATATTTTGTGCAGCACTTCAGTGTTTTGAATGAAACAGACAGACTACTGAATTGTATGAAACAATAATTCCACACAATTTTAACCTGCTTCATAAATGTCAAAGCATATTTTTGGAACAGGGAACATACTCACAATTGCAGCTAACAATCCATTTGCCCTGGAGAATTCCTTGCATAACATCAGTGTCTATGGAGCATGCATTGTTTGCATCTGTTGGCACTAAAATGTGAGTTACCACAGATCTGAAAACATTCCCATTTATAAGACATATTGAAATACTTAATTACATAATGCCTGCTATCTTTCCTTCAAGCTTTTTCATCCACAGAGGTCAGTAAAAATGATAAATTAATAATTACAGAACTTAGTGATCTCTTTCTTTGCATACTTTTCATTAGTACATTAGGAAAATGTCAAGAATGGGAATAAGAGGGGTTGCACTGAAATGGTTTCAATCATATCTAGAAAATAGAGAACAAAGAGTTGAGATAGCATATAGATGTATAGAAACTAATGATTTAACTAGTTGTCTATCGCAAAAAAGACACATAAAATATGGAGTTCCACAGGGTTCTGTGCTTGGACCAGTTTTGTTTTTGATCTATATCAATGATTTAGAAACCAGCATTAAAGAAGGAAGACCAACGCTTTTTGCTGATGATACTAGCATATTTTTAGCAGCAAAAAATGCTAGTGATGCTCAAAGAAAAATAAATAAAACAATAAATACACTCACAGACTGGTTTGAAAGGAACAAGTTAATTATTAATAAAGAAAAAACAGTAGCAATATCATTTCATCAACCCCAAAAAATACAAACTGAATACCCTCTAATAAAGCTTAATGATACAGTCATTAGTTATATAGATTATACAAAGTTCCTAGGAGTTTGGATGGATAAAAATCTAAAGTGGCGTACACATACTCAACAGCTAGCAAATAAACTTTGTAAAATATGTTTTGCCCTAAGAATAATCAGTAGAGTAGCTGGGCCAGAGACTGTTCGTACTTTATATTATGCGTATTTTCAATCTATGTTAATATACGGATTGATATTCTGGGGTAATTCAGGAGAAGCAAAAGTGATCTTTAAGCTACAAAAAAGAGCTATTAGAATCATGATACAAATCCCGAAAACTGTTAGTTGCAAACAATATTTTAAACTGTTACATATATTACCCTTACCATGCCTATATATATATGAAGTGTTGGTTTACATAAAGGCAAATTTAAGTGCTTACTCAATCAATTCCGAAATACACTCATACAATACAAGGAGAAAGGATAACCTATATACAGTACCATGTAATACGAGTTTATGCAAAAACAACTTTAGTAATATAGGATGTCGGATGTTTAATCAGTTACCACAATATATTAAAGAGATACCAGTACTACACAAATTCAAAAAGACTCTGAAAACATTCTTGCTGGATCATTGTTTTTATAGGGTAGAAGACTTTTTCGTGGTTGGGGATAAATCAAATCATAATTACTAGTTATCATATACTTAATGAATAAATGACTTACATCTTTACAATAACATATATGTGGGAATACCTTCTGCTCTGTTTTGTTTTTTTACTCTTGCAGAGAACAGGATAGCAGGAGGTGTTGGCTGGAACTACCCGGATAACGACAGATGACCATACTCTCCAACATCAATTTACAGGCTGCGCCAGAGCTTGAGTGATTAGTCGCTGGCTTCCCACCACTGTGATTTGAACAAGTGGGATTTGTGATAACAAACTGGCGCTGGGGCAGGTTTCCTCCGAGTACTTCAGTTTCCCCTGCCAAATAGGTTAAATAGGCTAAATAGCCGAAACATGTTGTTAATCTATTCTCAAATTTGATGTGTTGTGACTGATAAATATAGTGCTCATCATTTAATTATTATATTAGTATAAAATTATATTGTTCTTATTATTCTATTATTGTATCATTGTATTGTCTTATTGTATCATTATATTCGATTATAGAGTGTTTTGACTTGTCCTATGTCATGTATCCATGGATGTGAAGTGAATAAATAAATAAATAAATAAATAAACCAAAATGCCTGAAAATTGTCAGATAAATCCTTGAAATTCTGCATTATTACTACATCTGTAATTAACTAAACATACATAAAAATGTTTATGTAAAATTTCTAGATAGGTATTTAGGTTTGTCACACTGCCTTCTGTGCATGCATGCTTAGAGTTGGTACTACTGTGGTCACATGATCGAAGTTTGACCTTGATCAGGTCATTTTCCTTGATCCTGTGACAGTGTAAACATGGCCGCTCCGCTTGCAGTGTGCACCAAGGAGGAACAAAGAACAGTGATCTGATTTCTCTGGTTGGAAAGTGTGTCAAGGGCTGAAATTCATCGGAGGCTTTCAGCATAATACAGGGACAGTGCTCTACCGTGTAGAAGTGTGTATGAGTGGATCGAGAAATTTAAAAGAGGCCGGACAAGAAATTTAAGACTCAATCTTCCACAGGAAAGGTGATGCTAACAGTTTTTTGGGACTCAAAAGGGCATATACTGGAAGACTACATGGAAAAAATGGTATACAGTGCAAGTTACAGTGAGTTGCTGGCCAACAATCTGAAGCCAGCAATTTGCACCAAACGCTGAGGCCTATTGTAGAAGAAAGTATTGTTGTTGTTGCATGACAATGCATGCCCAAACATGGCTGGCCAGACCATTGAAACCATTAACCATTTGGGTTTCAAGGTGCTGGAACACCCTGCCTACAGTACAGATCTCGCCCCTTCTAACTATCATCCTTTTGGACCGCTCAAAGATGCTTTATGAGGTCACTGATTTTCTATGGACAAAGAAGTGGAGGAAGCGGTGCATAAATGGTTGCATGACCAACTGAAAACCTTCTTCTTGGAGGGGATATGCAAGCTTGTGGACCGCATCGAAAAGGAAGGAGACTATGTAGAAAAATGATGTACTTGTTCAACCCCTACTTTTGTGTATATAAATTGGAAAAACAAGAGTACGGATAATTTTTTACTTCCTTATGTAGATGACCAGCCTGCCACTCCAGCTGATTAAATACCCTTGCGAGACAAAATTATTTTGTAATATGATAAAACTTTGAACATGTCACTTTATATGTCAGCCAGAAAGCATAAATATGGCATAGTAACTATCTGGACTAATTTCTTACAAATTATGGATGGTTTCATAAATCCGAATTTGGGATTCTTTATGCAACATGTGAAATCCAAAAGCCACAGGTTCTTAACAAAGACATTTTATAAATACTCTTTTAAGTCAATGTGTTTTATATTTAACACACATCTTTCATTCTTTCATTCAAAAACAGAAACAACAAAAACATAAAGGCAATATTTTGATAAAAAAATCACTCAATTACTGCTTACTTAAAAGAGGTACAAAACAAAAATCAAGTATGTACATGAACAATGAAACATTTCTGGCAAATTTTCAATTCTTTGTGTTTCAAAGCTTCACTATGATTTTCTGTCCATCCACATGTACCAATGCGAGAAATGCTGAATGAATTTTTATGACATTTGGAATTGAGGTGTTGTGCTAAAATGTGTTCATATTTCATTTTAAGAACAGATAAGAAAAAAAAAAAGGTGCATGCAGAACTACGAGTACATGAACTTCTGTGTACTTCTCAAAATTAAACAATTTGAAGCTTTCACTGTGACCATACAGAATGATGTCTTCTTGGGCAATCATCCATGTGAATATGGAGTTCGTATCCAATGTTATGGAGACTGTCTTTGTCTACATCATCAGGTGATGAAGTAACGAATCTCAGGGCTGAACATCATTAAAATTATGCTCTCTTCTGTACCAGAAAATTCCAGTGAGGGAAAAGTGGGTGAAGTGTCATTGCAGTCAACGTTGCTTGTCATTAGTCCTTTGTTACAATGCTTTTGATAGATCTCCATTGTTTAACCACATTTGAGATCAGTTATCATGAATGGTTTAGAGCAGGGGTCTCCAAACTTTTCGAACCGTGGGCCACATTAGGTAATTCAGCACTTTCAACGGGCTGGATAAAATGAGAAATTAATAACTCTAGGTATATGAGTTTTATTGAAAGCACAGAATTTCATAAACTAAATACAAATTATGTGAGAATAAATTATTGTATATTAATGACAACAGACAGTAGCAGCAAATGCTCATATTTTCATCACAAATTACAATAAAACAATTAATGGAATGATGGATCTCTTTTTGCATTCTTAAAATCTGATTAAATTGAGGTTCAAATTTTGAAACGCTAATCACAAGTAGCGACTTTAAATGTTCATTGGATAAATTTGCCCTGTATTTTGACTTGATGTACTTCATCTGGGATAAAGTTCGTTCACACAGATGTCGTCCCAAAAATGAACATAAATTTACAAGCAAATTTCTTTAAATTTGGAAATTGCTCAGAGTTCAGAAATTTATAAAATTCGATCAAATTTCCTTCCCTGTATTTGTCTTTAATATGATAATTTTCCTGAAGTTCAATAATTTCCATTTGAATTTGACTTGGGACATCTGCAGCATCACAGTCAAACAGATTTGGAAACAATCTAATTTCCTGAGCACTGGAATCCAAATCAGGAATTCGCTTCAGAAATTGTTCCTTCAACTCTGAAATGACTAAATTTGCAAACGAGGAAGGAAATTCTGCTTTGTCCTTTTTATGCAACTCTGCACAGTATAGCATATGAACGAAGTTACAATTTTTCACTTGGCTTTCCAGAAGTATCAACTTTGCTCTGAATGCCTTAATAAGTGCAAATAAATCACAGACTAAGTTATTTTCACCCTGCAACTTTAAATTCAAATGGTTCATATGGTTCACCAGATCAGCAAAAAATGCTAATTTCCAAAGCCACTCAGTATCTGATAAAAGTGGTTCGTGATGGTTTTTCTTGGTAAGAAATATATCAATTTCATTCCTGAGCTGAAAGAAGCACAAAAGAACCTTTCCACAGCTAAGCCATCGAACTGCAGTATAATATGTCAGGTCAATAAGGTCGGAATCACATTTACCAGTACTCACTGGAAAATTAGTTCAATTGGCGCATTTCTGCACAATTTTTGCGGGCCGGATAAAATCACATCGCCGGCCAGATGTGGCCTGCAGGCCGTAGTTCGGAGACCCTTGGTTTAGAGTGAACCCTGCATCCCTATTGAAGCTGTCAGTGTGTAGGACTCTCTCTTTAGAAGCTTTTCATGGTGCCTGGCTGCAGACAAAATTAACCAAGGGAAAGCCATGAAAAACACTGAACGATCTATAACAAGCAATATCAATTGTGATGATAATGGCCTGCACTGGGACAGGACACCAATGCCCATCTAACCCCATCCCATTTCCTCAGTGGTACGTGCTGGGACAGCCAAAAGCATACCATATTGGTGAAATATACATGTGATCATAACACATTAACCTCTGATGATGAAGATGGAGACGGTCTCTGAAATGTTTGATATAAGACAATTTCACTGGATCTCAATTGTAATTCACACATAACTCAGCATATATATGTTCTAGATACCAAAATAGATATGATTATTCATAAGTCATTAAGTCCAAAAAGAGTACAATAAAGTATAGAAAACACTACTTACGAATAAGACTGCTTCATCTTGATTTTCAATTGTTGTGTCAGAGTCATGAGCTGTTTATGCTGCTCCTTATTAAGCCTACATCCAAAAAGAATTATCTGACCAAGATCCAGATTTTGCGCTTTTGTCTCAGTCAGTGGTTTTATAACTGAAACACTCACTCCTGAATTCAAAACTGTCTCCATCTCCTCTGTCTTGCAATTATTCCTGTTACCAGAATATGTACAGACTGAGTATTAAATGAAATTGAAAGACAAAATATCTGTGGATTAATATATGTACATTAAAAACATGTGCATAATTACAGTGAAACCTCAGTATACAAAGATAAAATGGATAAAGGGTTTCTTAGAACCAGTTGGAGGAATTAAGCTGAATTTTGTTAGTCTTCAATAAATGCAATAAATACATAATTTATAAACTGAACGATCTTATACTTCACAATGCCATATTATTTCATCAGACTAAACATTTAAATATATCTTTGTTCGACAGTAACATTGTTACACAACTATTTAGATCTAATGACCAAGCACACTCGCACAGTGGTAACACTCACGACCAATTACCAGCATAGTATCTCAATTGGGCCACTAATTTTTTCTTCCAAATAACCTCTAATTCATCATTTAAGAAACCACCCTACAATTCAACACTACATAATCTATGAGTAGATATGACAGAAATGTAAGAGAGACAGCACTGTAAAATAAATTATAAACAAATAAATACATCATATCCTGGAAGTATTTGGGAATGACAAAAATTTGTTCCCAATTCCTTCTTCCATAAGCCAATAACATTTTGATGCAAGACAGAATGCATGACAGTTGATTCCTTTCAATACAAATACAGGAATAACACAACTAAGCATACGAGGGAGGGGCCCCAAAAATAACCGGAAACGACCTGTTGCGCGCGCATGCTTTGTAGTTAGAAGTTGTGCTGCTAGGTGGTGTTAGCTAGGGGTCTCCCGTGACTGTTAGTGAGCTGGCGTCAGTCTGAGTTAAGTGGTTTGTCTGTGGTGCTCTGTTGTGTGCATTCCTGTTTCAACCCTTTGGCGATTAGTGAGATGGCCGACCAGAAGGTACAATTCTTTTAAGAAATTCTGGATCGTTCTGCACTTCACTCTTCAAGTCGCGGCAAACATTCACGCGGTTTTCTCTTTGGTCATCTCCGAGCAAGCGAGGAACAAATTTTGCAGACACCCGTCTCATATGCAAACCTTCAGTTAAAATTCGCTGGACCGTGCTCCATGAGATGTTTGTTTCCTCAGAAAGTTGGTCAATGGTTTTTCAACGATCTTCATCAATTGCACGTTTGATTTTGGCAATGTTTTCGTCATTTCTTCCTGTCGAAGGACGCCCGGGGCGTGGCATGTCTTCTGTTGACATGTTGCCAGATTTGAAACGGGAAAAGCACTCGTAGACCTGTGATTTCCCCAAAGCATCATCATTAAAGGCTTGCCGAAGCATCCCAACAGTCTCGGCTGCAGTTTTCCCTAACAGAAAGCAAAATTTCATGCACACTCTTTGTTCCTTCTGGTCGGCCATCTCACTAATCGCCAAAGGGTTGAAACAGGAACGCACACAACAGAGCACCACAGACAAACCACTTAACTCAGACTGACACCAGCTCACTAACAGTCGCGGGAGACCCCCAGCTAACACCACCTAGCAGCACAACTCGTAACTACAAAGCATGTGCGCGCAACAGGACGTTTCCGGTTATTTTTGGGTCCCCCTTCGTATGATAGCCAGATATAGATTTAATAATTACATACCTGGGTGTCATTCCATTAACATCACGGGCTTCAACATCAGCACCATACATTAATAACAATTTTACTGCTCCCAATTTGTTGTTCAGCACTGCTTCATGAAGAGGTGTGATATTATTATAACCAGGCACATTCACCATTGCACCATATTTCAGCAGAAGTTCTGCTATTTCAACAAAACCATGATGCACAGCTTCATGCTGAAACAATACCACTGCATTTGTAATACACATTTTATTTGTTGTTACTTCTGCAATTGTGTGCCACCAAATATAACTCATAAAAACAGCAGCATAATGTCTTATCTTCTTTACTTGGTCATGCCCAGAACCATGAAGAGGCTAACTTTGGAACTCCATAACTGTTGTTTAGCTTAGAAGTCATAACAATAAGCTCATATTTTGCATGGAAAATTTGAAAAGAACACGTGCCAGTATATCTAAGAAGAGACTAATAAGTGTTACTCTTACATCAGAGGTCGTGAGACAACATTGTTGAAACCCAAACTATTTTGTTAATATCACCTGGCATGAACTATTAGAAATTTACAGCTCTTCAGGAAGCTCATGGATAGTCAATATTCTGTCATTCTGAACTAAATACAGCACTGGGGCCACCAATTCAATATTTACATTGTGTAAAGAGTGTCTCACTTTCAGTAAATAATATTAATCCCTCTTTAAAATAATGATGTCTTGAGTTCGAATCATTGTGAGGTCTAGCTGCTACCAGTACCGCCTGCAGCTCTAGTGCTTGCCCTTCGTGCCTACCCCAATCTACCTGCAGACCACATAGGAAGAGAGGCAGGAAAAGCATTCGTAAACGGAATACGAGATGTCGATATAAAGATTCAGCTGCTGCTGGGAGGGGAGAAGACAGTAAACAAGGCCCTCCGACAAGCACTAGAGCTGCTGACCATGAATAAATATAGCAACGAAGTCAGCTGTAAACACAACTGGCAAGCAAACACACTGTGATATATTCACTGTCCTTGCATAATGTGATTTATCTGAGATATGAATTTAGTATCACTATTCTCTGATTAAACTGTCTTGTATGACTTATCACCATATCAGATTTCACACACTTCGCTTCAATGGTTCAACAGTGATTACCAACAAAAAGCTAATAAAGAATTTCAGTGGCTGTCATGTTATTTTACACTATATTAAAAAGTGACCAAAAGTTCCACATTCTAGAAAGAACCATTTCAAACAAGAATTCAAGGTCATGTTACTTTACACCTTAGAGACTGCACATCTGTTATCATCACATTATCCATTCCATGTGAATTAGAATTATATGGCTGGAATGATCTCTAAGAGTGTGATTCCCACAAAATCTTCTATAAAAATCTGACTTTTGGTTAAAAATTTATTGTGGGGAATATATACATGAACATGCATAAACATATCACAAGTCCTATCTGGCTTAAGGAATGAAAAAAAAAAAAAGACTATTTGCCTCTGCTTTCTTTACCAGTGACAGCTATAGCTGATCAGCATTGCAAATTTAAACAGAATACATCATTCATTCACTCAATCATCCATTTATTTACATTCCATGGATCCTTATGTGGCTGGAAGAGCAGCAGATATAGAAATAGTCAAAGACAACAGGACAAATCCCATCAATTGTATAAATAAAAATTAAATATACTTAATCCATAACAATTACACATATTAAGAAAGTCGTCTTCTTGGATCTTTCTTCATAGTCATCACCGTGAAAACCTCAAAACTTACAATTACACATATTATCTAAGACAAATCACAATGAGTAAATCATTAAAACAGTTATAAAATATATACATAAAAGAATGCAACATACTAATATGATACAAGACTACAAAATGAAACATAAAAATATACTACTACGCATCAAGCGTATAACAGACCAAGATCGTTAATTAATATTGAAGTTAAAATATTCCTCCAATGAGTAAAATGAATTTAAGAGTAGAATTTTTTTTTAAAGCAAATCTAAATTGTTTCATATTATGAGCTAAGTTCTTTATGCTAAAGGAAGATTATTAAAAACTTCGATTCCAAAATAGTATGTTCCTTTTTTAAATACTGTTAAATTACATTCTGAATAATGGAAAGTATTATGCAACAATTTTCTGATATAAATGAAGTACACAGGAACATAAATTACAGTGAGGAAGAATGTAAGAAGAACCTTACCAGAGGTGTCCAACCTGCATAGTCCTTAGTGTTAGGATTTGTTCCATCTACAAGGAGAGCCTTCACATCTTCAAGTTTTCCCTACAGATAAGAAGCCAAAGAGGTGTATGACAGTAAATATGAAAATATACTAGTCTATACAGACAACTCTCAAAGATAAGAAAAAATCCAAGTATATTTATGTAAAACTTCAGTGAACTACAATATATTTGATACCATTCTACAGCATTTTTTTTTGGGTGGGGGCTATTTTGTAACACTCAGTATACACCATCAGACAGTAGGACAAATGAATTGGAATTTGGAAGGAACCAGCCATGACCTAATTGAGGTACTATGCCAACATCTGGCTGGAGGAACAAAGGAAATCACAAAAGATCTCAGTCAGGATAGCCTGTGTTCCAGCCAAGATTCAAACAAAGAACCTAATGAACACCAGTGTACAACACTGCCTCCAGTTTACTGGCTAGCCTGGGAACCTTACCTCTGCTCCATAAAAAACTTAAAGCTATCCCTATAACAGGCCATGAAGGCCCATAGGGTTGTGAGATGTCAAGGCTCCTACATTTTCTAGACAATCAGTCCACAGATGGTGGTCAGGTTGTCAGCCTTACGTGCTGGCGACCCTTTACTCCACAGGAAGATTCCTGGTACTCATTTCTGTTAGAGACTGAGTCAACCCCAGAGCCATCTTGCAGGTGAAAGGATTATTATTATTATTATTATTATTGTGCTTGTTTTTTTTATTTAACTGCAAATGGGTTTTCACCAGGTGGCAGTGGTACTACAATAAGACAACAGACAAAGAGCACACATTACTACATTACATTACACTGCATTGCATTCCATGGATCCAAAGTAAGTCAAAATGACGTAGGATGTGGAATATGTCATATAAATACAAAACATATGTACAGTCCCAATGGAGTTCTCACACAAGAGAAACCAAGAATACACAGTGACTACACACAAGGCTATTTAAATATACATAAGTTATTTTCTAGACAACAGGTATTCATCAACTGAGTAGAATGAATGTGTATTTAAGTATCGTTTCAGTGCTATTTTAAATCATGCCTTTTCATTCATAAGACCTTTGAGGTCTGATGGCAGGATATTAAAAATGTTGATCCCAGCATAATATGCGCTTTTTTGAAAGCATGAGAGGTTAGCAACTGGTTTATGAAGACAGTGTTTGTGTCTTGTGTTAACACTGAGTACATCCACATTCGTCTGAAATGTTATTTGTAATGAAGTTCATTAATGAATATATATATACACACACACATAAGGAAAAGTAATATCTATAGTCTCTTAAATATATCTCTACAGGAATTATGGGATTTGAAACCCATCATGATTCTAACAATTTTCTTTTGCAATGTAAATACCTTTTTATTGTCATATGAAAGTAAGCAAAAAAGATTGATTTGAGAGTGTCAATGTTACTAATATGTAACACGAATCTAACTGCATAACATGTTCTACTTAGCTTTGGAATCAACTGTTCAATGTGGTTTTTCCAGTTTAAATGATTATCAATTTGCAAGCCAAGGAATTTTGTGTTTACTCCCTCTTCTATATATTTATCATTATATCCTATGTTTAATGGATATTGTGGTGAGCTTCTTGTTATAAATTTTATTACATTTGTTTTTTCTAGGTTCAGGGACAACTTGTTTGCAGAAAACCATTTACTCATTTGTGAAAGAACCTTGTTTGATAACAACCAGAAATCATCTAAATTTTCACCAGAAACTATAACACTTGTGTCATCTGCAAATATTATAGGTATTGATGAGGTCCTTAGTGTAGAAGGGAGGTCATTTATATAAATTATGAAAAGCAAAGGCCCAAAAATTGACCCCTGTGGAACTCCATGTTTTATTATTCCCCAGTTTGAGTAGGTACTTTGGATTGAATTTGATGATTTTATTTCAATATTTTGTTTTCTATCTGTTAGGTAGGATCTGAACCAACTTATCATTGTTCCTTGAATGCCAAAAAAAAATGTAATTTAGTTAATAAAATTTCATGATTTACACAGTCAAATGCCTTTGCTAAGTCACAGAATATTCCACCAACATGCATTTTTTGATTAACAGATTTCAACACACTGTCTGTTAACTTAAAGGCTGCATTTTCGATAGAAATTCCTTTCCTAAAGCGAAACTGTTCTGGGACTAGTATATTGTTACTCTGAAAATCATGGCTCAACCTCTTGTGCATAACTTTCTCAAGTACTTTAGAGAAAGTAGTTAGCAGTGAAATTGGCCTGTAGTTTGACATACTAGTCTTGTTCCCTTTTTTACAGTAAAACAACAGACAAATAACACTCATTACTACAATAAGACAAGAGACAAATAACACACATAAACATGTTCAAACAAAGCACAGCCACAAACATTAGTAGAAAATTAACATAATGTATAATAAATTGGCAGTAATGAATGCATAATGTCATTTTCTCATTTTTGCTTTATTTTTCTTTACTACACTTGTGTAATCCTTTCATCCTTAACACTGTTCACTTCATTTCACTGCATTTTTTTTTTGCTGATTTCCACCCCACCTTCACTTTGCCTCATTTATCACTTTCCTAACCCTTTTCCTAAAATTACTTGGTTTGCTGGAGAGAGTCCCTAAAGCATCTGAAGGTAGTTTTGGTTCCAGATCTGTATGGTCCTATTTACAAAGGAGTATTTTCCGATATCTGTCCGTTGCTTTCTGCTCCTAATTTTCTTGTCATGATCGTCCCTGCTCAGATAGCATGGCCTTTGTAATCTATTACCTACAGTCTTCCAAGCCCGTTCTTCCATGTATGCTTTGAAGACAGCGCATATGCGAGCCATGTGCTTGTGCTGTGTCAAGGTTCCCCAGTTCAAAGCGTTCATATTATGTACAAATTTAGCCACTTTATTTTGCACCTGATCTAACATATTTATCTTTCCCTCCCTGTAAGGATCCCAGCAAGCTGCCCCATATTCCAGAATCAGATGCACTAAAGATGTGTAGGCTAAACATTTAGTGATGCTATTTCCCTTTTTTAGAATATGCATTGTAAAATGAAGTGCCTTCCAGGTTTTTTTCACCGTATAATTTACTTGATCAGCCCAACTTAGATCGCTGCGTAAAATTATTCCCAGATATTTACAAGTGCTCGCTTCAGGAGTTACTGTGTCCCCTAATGAATAATTCTGTGGCTCCATCACTTGGGCCCTCGTGAAACAAACTGCCTTACCTTTACTTGGATTACTTATCATCGCATTTTCAGCCGCCCATTCCCCAAGTCTGTTCAGATCTATCTGCAACTTTTTTGTATCTTTATTAGTTGTAATTTTCCTATATATTACACAGCTGTCTGCAAAAAGTCTAATAGTTGATCCAGTATTTCTCCAAATATCATTTACGTATGTGAGGAACAGTAGTGGACCAAGTACACTTCCTTGCAGTACTCCTGATGTTAAGTGACTTCTTCCGATAATTGTCTCCTACTCTAACTCTCTGTGTATGGGGCCAAAGGAATTCCCTTATCCATACAACTACCATCGAGTCCACTCCTGAGTTCGCAATTTTCGTAAGCAGCCGATCATGGGGAACTAAATCAAAGGCCTTCGAAAAATCTATTATAATAGCGTCTATCCTACCTCCCTTATCCAGTGAGTCTGCAATGTCCTGGCAAAATGTGATTACTTCACTTTCACATGAATATCCAGGCCTGAATCCATGCTGACCCTCAAATAACCAATCCTTTTTATCCCATATTTTCCTCAGGTAAGATGCTATAACGTGTTCCATTTGCTTGCAGACTACTGAGGTTAAACTGATGGGTCTGTAATTTGACACCTGTGATCGATCACTACCTTTGTAAATAGGAACAACAACGGCTTTTTTCCAGTCACTTGGGATAGCGGCATTATTCATTGTTACATCCAATAATCGCGCTTCATGGCTTCCCCACCCAGTTTTAACATTTCACCAGAAATGCTGTCTGGCCCCATTGATTTGTTTTTACCTATTGCTGCTAACCTGCAAGGTAAATTGGGGGGGGGATCTACCTCATTGGGAACTAAATCCACGACCTTCCGATTTGTAGCAAAGTGCCTCAACCAACTACGCTACCATGTGCCCCTACCTCTGCTCCATATGGGTAATGAATTTTCTGAAGCTTTATAGTTACAGATAAAGGAGAGCTTGATTGAATGACATGACAGAAATACGCCATGTCCATACAGTGTTGCATGTGCCATAAATGCTAGATATGTCTACTTGAGTCTACAAACATATATCAGGCATACTACTTTGTTGAAGGTATTAAATTAAACAGTACATAAAGCCTCAATTTAATTTTTAGCCAGAATATTTAACTGGAATATTCTGAATTGATGAAGATTTAAATTCTGTGCAGGTTGGTGAATTGAAACATGAAAGGAAGTCAATAAAAGTTAGATTTGAGGTTTTCGTGGCAGTGACTATTATAAGTGCCATCTTCCAGGATATACATTGTATAGTCTGATAGAAATCTACCAGCATTTCAGAAGAATGTACTGCTTCCATCTTCATGGTAGAACAGTAAGTTAAACAAGCAGTGGATTATGCTACCTCCATCTTCAGGGTAGAAGATTAAGTCATGCAAACAGCAACTGCTTGTCTTATTCTTCAACCATGAAGAGGGAAACAATATGTCTGTCTAAAATGTGGGCAAATTTCTACAAGACTATACAGCATCACAACCCAGAAGGCAATACTCTCTAATTCAATAAATCTGTCCTACTGTCCATATACATATTCACACACAAGCATGTGTCATTTTATAATGTATAACACCAATAAACCAACCTTTATGCACGCAACGTGTAGACGTGTTTCTCCTTTTGCATTACGTTTATTTATGTCTTTGGCTGCAGAGTTTCGAAATGGCCGAGATTTTCTCACAATCGTAATAGTTGAAGATTTCTGAGTATCAGATATGCAAGGATCTATAATATTACTGCTCTTTCTTTTTTTCTTAATTGGTTCTTCTCCTGCTAAATTGCTTCTCTCAGGATCTGAATCAGAAATTCTCTTGGAAGTCACATTATTCTGTGTATCACTGCAATTGTTTCCAGAGTTGTTCTTAATATCTGATACACCGGTACGTAATTTGGTATCACACAGATCCATTTCATTATCCTAACAATCGATATTGCTGCAGACAGTAAACACAGCAATGTTAAAGATCTCACACTAATTGTACCACAGGATTAATCTAAGTACAGGATCTGATGATCATGTCGTGGTAGGTGGGACTTCTTCCACAGCATGACTGATTAATAAAATAACTCTACCTATATTTACAATTCAACTGAAACATATCAGTAACTACAATAAGATACAGGAACAATTCTAGTTACTTTGTAGATTCTAAAGGGTTCTGATGATTATGTATAATACTCAAAATTACTTGGTTTCCAGACTTTGTCCATTGTCTGGTATTCTAAAAACTTGTCTTTTTCCCTACATTTATAAAAGTGTTCTAGCTGTGATGTAACTGTTATAACATTATACAAACAGTAAGTTCTGGCATGAATTTTTGATATCTACTTTCCTTCTAAAACTTCAACATGGTGAGATACTAAATGCTATAAATTAAAAATTATCTAATTTAGTGATCCATTTTTATATATTGTGATGGTATATGATCATTTGCTAGGCAACGGCTAAGGTAAACATTGCTTAAAAGCTGGAATAGCAGCAGAAGTGGAAGTCTTTTTGGTAGGCAACGGTTTGCTAGCACCTGTTTCTGCAGCAACAAATATTAGCCAACACAAACCCGTGACAACAAACAAAATTACAGAGGACAACTAACTGTTTTACAAGGTGACTCATACTTGAGTCATGTGGCAGTTATAAAAGAGAGTTCAATCATGCATTCAAGGGGTCAGAGATTATTCACACAGCATTCATCAGACAGATCATCGTTTAGGAGTTCAATAAGTGTGCTGTTATAATTCACTGTAATTGTAAAGAAGTGTCAATAAACCCAATCATCAAATCCAGAACCCATTATTATTAGTCAGGCAAACCCCAAATATGTGACAATATAATTTCCAACAGTGCAGATGTTAAATTCACCGAACACAATACCAAAGTTTCACGCTACAGCCAGGTATGTAATTGACAATGCATGAAAAATGGTTCATACATATAAATTTGATTTGTTTCATTCTGTTTTTTTTAAATAACGTCTAGAAACTTTTAAAAACTTTACAACACCAGGAAGCTGCTGTGATTGTGAAATGTTTGACTTCATGCGTACTGTGCATTATAGGATACAAGTGTATGTATTTTAATGTTATATTTTAGCATCCTGTTGCACTGATTTAAGTCCATGATTTATTTAAACCGTCTTGCAGTGCATACACTCATTTATCTCCTTCTCTCCCTTGCACTACATGTTTCGGCATAATAATGCCATCTTCAGGTGCTTACTTATCCACGCCAAACTAGTTCATTGCATGCCTTGTCCTCATATTAAAATAACTAAAATATGTATCTATCATATACATTGTCAAACGTTAAAAATATTAAAATTGTTAAATCATGTATGTATTTTAAATCAAAACACCTATTGTGATGGTAGTTTCCAGTTTGTAATGATGTTCCATCTGAAGATGGCCCGTAAGGACCGAAACATGTAAGGGAGATAAGTTTTAACGTAGTTTGGATGGAGTGGTTTGTATTTCATACAGAATTTATAGCAACATTTATTATCTATCTCCATTTAAATTCCAAATGCATAAATTTAAATATAGACTTAGTTTAGCCCCATGATTTCTTCTTACACGTCAAAAGAATACTTTGTTAGAAGGCATGCATTTTTTAAAGATCTCTTATCACACAAATTTCAGGACCCTAGTGTCTACACAATACTAATGGTAGTGGCAATGTCAATCTTTGTTGAGTCTGTGTGGTCAGTATGTGAGAATTATAGACGGTAGGGTATTAAAAATTTGAGATGTTCATACCAGGTTTTCTGAAAACTCAAAAGTGTGTTCCAAGTTGTAAGGGGAAGGCTGTCTTCCTATAACAGAACAAAGGTTGGTTACAAGTTCCTCCCTTATTCAGCATTAAAAGTCTAGAAGAAAAAAGTTAACTTGCATGTTATGTTAGTTAATAATGTTACTTCAACTGCAGATGTGGTGGCTTCAATAGTTTTGAGACAGAAGCGAATAAAGACAGTGACACTGTGCCACATACAATGGAGCCTACTCATGCATGATGAGACATCTACACCCCTTATGAACTATGGGAATTATTCAACTGTGGCTGGACTAGCAGGTGAATAGCGAATAGAATATTTTGAGGTAGAAGAATGGATCACCTCAAGCCGTGGATTTTGAGAAAATCAGCAACTGAAATGTTACCAATTTTTTGGGTGATGTAGATGATGTACAGTTAACAATGCTCTTGTTCGGTATGTTTAAGTGCATTGAGGAGATTGAAAATTATTGGACTATGCAACAGAGAGCCTGCAAAATCACAGATCTGCTTATCTGTCATACCATCCTTGATACAAGTTTGAAGACGCACCATGTCTGTTAACACATATCAAGGATATGCTGCTGATATATTAACAAACTAATGACGACATGAAGATCAGTGCTACTAACAACAACTAAGTCCATGAAGCGTAGTACTTCTTGAGAAACAGATAGTCATTCAGCTGGTCAATAAATTCCCTGCATTCTGTGAAATCTGAAGGTCCACTACTCTGTTCACAAGAGTTTGCCAATAGAACCTCTCCTTCGCCAGTTGAATCCAATCCACAACCTTACAGTCCAATTCTTTGTTTCTTGTGGTGTGTACAGAACTGCTCTATTGTCTTACAAGAGTCATCTGTGTCATATATAATGATCGGTACTCTTTCTAAGAAAATGTCATACATGATGAAATCTAGCATTTCCTGCATAATCTCTACAGTAAATGACAATCGCCACTATACATATTACCATAAATCATTCTATATTCTTTAGAAATTGTGAAGTAGGAACATTTAATACTTACCTCTTGAATCCTACAATATTGCATATTTTCCTCCAGCCCATAATCAGACTTGCAATGAGTTGATCAGATGTGATCTTCAAAGAAAGAGAAGGAACTCCACACACAGGGCAATCACTTTTATCACTTCCTACACAAGCTTTGCAGAAAAAGTGACCACATATGTTGTGATTCATTGGGTCATTAGGTATCTTCTTGCTAGAGTAATAAAAAAAAAGACACTTTCAGTTGCTTTTTACTACAAATAGTACAGGGCTACTCTCAGTAACAGAGTTCGGTCTACGTGCATAACAGTTTCTCTTTATGCTTGATATCCAGTGCACAAAATTTAAAATTATACATTACTTCCAAATGAATTCTCCATTATCTGCATACATACACATACCAGATATAAAACTTGAATTACATTCTGAAGGAACAACCAAGACACTTAACAATTCCTATTTCATTGATCATATAAAATATTCTGATACAAAAAGCAAGAGTTGAATTCTGTTAAATTATACATGTTTTAATTTATTCACAAGTCACACTGGAAGTCAGAAAACATTTATCCTTATATTTATTCAAATACCGGTCATAAAACATTTCAAATTACAGAACTTAAAGAAACATTTATACCATGTAAGTTAGAGATTGAACTTCAGGGTTATAACGTAAAATTAAACCTCTGCACATTACTGAAAAAGGTTGGAACATTTGAGTACAATCAACTATAACATACTCATACTGTATGCCTTGCTAGTGACAAAATTCTTCGATAAGTACGATTAATTGCATACATTTGGGAAAATGTTCTGCCATTTGAGATTAAAACAAGAAAAATGTTTATATTTTGTGAATTCCAAGAAGCCGACATTACGATGAAATATACAACGAATAAAATCCCCATCTTAAGCATAAACACACAGAACTACAACGAAAGGTGGCAATTGCACTGTCTAGGTCATTTAACTACTGATTATTTTACGATCCTGTCAGTATCTAGGCCAGTGGTTCCTAACCTTTGTGAGAACGCGGCACAGTAAATTATTATTTTATATGAAGAGGGCCCTGTATAACTAATGCCTAGGTCCAGTACCTGGCCGCCGCCCGGCGGTTGAGAAGCAATAATAATACATAGCGCCCAAGGGTACAAATGAATGACGGACTGTAAAAGACTTGTAAATACACAGTCGTTATGAGGTGCTATCCAAACATCAGTCTGGGAGTGTGAGGTAAACCATGAAATGCCGCAGTCGGAATAGCCGGTGTATCGGTCATGTACATCCCGAATAATAGTCTAGAGGGTCTAGAGCTATGCCAACACGCTTGGCGTCCAAATCTTGTAACTTACCATACATTACATATCAAAACGGCTTGAAAATCTTCTAATGCTGCTAGCGTATTATCCCACTTAAACATAATCGAATTAATACCCACAATAACAACATACAACTTTCACTCAAACACACTTCTTTCCGCTTTCAAATACCGTTCAAATACAAACGGAAGTAAACGGATGTTTACGAACAATACCCACCACAGCCACTGGGGCCACGGTTCACTACAACTGCTACAACTTCAGTTAAAGTAGAGTTGTCCCTGTTGCATTATGCCATATAGGCGTATACGGGCGAATAGGGGGGTGGTGTGCAACTTGATGTATTCATTCCATCAAACTCTCCATAACCATAACCACCCAGGATATATATCATTCGAATCATAATTTTATTATCTTTGTATACTATTATATCATTGTGTTATATATTGTATTATTATTATTATTATTATTACTATTATTATTATTACTTATTGTATTGTAAAGTATTTGACTTGTCCTATAACATGTACAATGATCCATGGATATGATATGAAATAAATAAATAAAATTACGTGGGGCCTTGATCTACAAGACTACACGACGTCACAGCCAGCAGAATTTCCCAACATTTTATTGAGCCATATGGTTCGTTACCGTGTTTACTTCTACTGGTATTGTCATGAGCCGTCCTCAGCCAGATCTATGTAGTTAATAAAATAAACCAAACACGGAATAATATTACCGATATTTCAAGTTTCTAACTGTATACCTGCGGTGCTTCCATTGTCTCACATGAGCTCTGTATGATCCGTGGTCAGTTGTCTAATGGATGATCGGGAAATCGAGAAACTGTGTTGGCAGTAATGTGGTAAGTGTGGAAAAAGTGTTGCGCAAGAAGTGCTGCATAAAAGTGGATTGCTGGGCGGTGGAAAGGGACAGAAGCCATATTATTAATGGTGAAATCGCAGGAGGATTGGACGATAGTGCTATTTTTAAGGTTTTTATGTAGTGATATAGTTACTGGGTGTATAATGTGTACTGCTCAAGCGACATAAAACTTTCATTGCCAAAGGTAAGAGCTATACTTTAGATACTTCAATCGCGACTGTAAGAAGGTGTTAGGAAATGAAGTGGCAGTAACCAATAATCGTCATAACCGTTAGTAAATTTTGTACGAAAGCTAGTTATAAATTTGGACCATTGAACACGAAACCCAAAATTCAGTCTACAAAACAGTTTTGACTTCCAGTTGCATAATTTATATTGGACGTCACTGAGACTGGAATGGTACTTTGTTTTTTAATAGTCACTTTTCGTTATAACAGTTCTTTAAATACCTCACTGTATACGGTATTATAAACGTTATTTATACTTAGTTCTAACTGTATTGGATTTATTTTGGTGGTAAGAAGTCGGTTAGTTTTCCTCGTGTACTGCGAACACGGAAGTAATGGTTCTTTTACATGTGTTGCAATATGTTGAAACATTGTGCATGCTGCTACATTGTCTTTGTTGTTGGCTGCATTAAATGTTATCTGCAAATTTCAAAACTAAATACCTGCGTCAGTGATAGGACTTGAGAATATCATGAAATGTAGAGTAGCATTAGGTTGTACAGGCATTGATTTTATTTATATGCAAAAGTTCACTGAATTTATAGGCAATGTACACTTCGATCGTTACCTGATAAATATGAATCATGATTATTTTTATGTACAGTACGTAGGTAAGTACATTGTTGTACAGTGTCTGCAGGAGAAGAGAGATTTGTAATGAAAAAACATCTGGTGCCCTAAAGACTTGTGCTTGTTTCATAGTGTCCAGGTGTATTTATTTACAATATAAAAGTTCAGATTGAAGTGACATGATTCTCCATAGTGAACATTCACAATTTAAAATTATCCATGAAGGCATATGGAGTAATTTAAATTGCCAGCCATATTTGTCTTCCAAGGATATACTTATTGATGTTTGAGTGATACAGCAGTTGACCTCAAAATTCTGCTTTCCTCATCAGTTCACGTGTTGCACCATTAGTTGTTGACAGTGGAAGACAGAAAAGAAAAGGGTAGGTCTGCAGATCAACAGTTGGGGAACACTAGTGTATATGACCATACAAAGTGGTAAACTGTAGAACATATGTCAGATTATGAAAATAGTTCATTAAATGGAAAAGATAGTGTTGGTGTCTAGTTGTGTTCAACAGCTTAGGGATGCTGTTCTAAAAAGGTATGTTTCCTGATGAAGGTATAAGAATCAAATAGAGTTAAATCATATGTGTAAAAGCCATCAAGTTTTATTGATAAAAATTTGAACATTCAATTTGATGTCTTGTTAAATATTCAACTTCTTCAGTCTTATGTATTTGAATGACTCAGTATTGAGACAATATAACATCACTGCTAGGATAATTAATGAGTGTGCAGCAGTTGGTGGAATGAGGATAGGCAGGGAAACTGGAGTACTTGGAGAAAACCTGCACTTATGGAAATTCCTGTACCAGAGATCCCAAATGACCTGACCTGAGATCAGACCCATGATGCTGTAATGGGAAGCCGGCAGGTAATTGCCTGAGCTTTGGCACAGCCAGTGTTGAACTCTGTGGTTCATTGTATGTCAATAAGCTGTTTTCGAGAGAATTTGAGTCAAGGAATGAACATATGAAAATTAAACAAAATAAAAACTTGTATATGATCAAGGCAGTGAAAACCGCGAAGACCTTTAAAAGCTTGAGCAAACCATTTTTTAAATAAATTGTTGACTATTTCTAAGGAAGTTCCTTTAACCATGAGTTGAAAAATTTTGTTAATAGGGAATGATGTGATGGATTTGCTCAAAGCATTAAGCTGTGGAGCCAGAAAACCCTGTTGCTAGGTAAACACATTCAGGCAAACATGTTACTATAATAATATACACTGAGACTGGTTGCTAAGCAGTTTCTTGTTAAAATGTCTGTACAGTAATACAAGGTGTTTTCTATGTGGTCTGTGCCCCTGCTATATAATGATCAGTTGCTGTTGCAAGAATACAGTGTGACTTTGACAAGGATAGGAATGAGAGTGAACGTGTTCACAGTGTAGGACAAGGTGAAGTCAGTAAAGTAAGTAAAGGTATCCCTATAACAGGCTGTGGAGGTCAATAAGTTTGGGAGATGTTGAGGCTAGACAGTAATTGTTACACGTTACTGTAGTAACTACATTACTACAGGATGCTTAAATATAATATCCTATGTAACGGTCTATTCTAGTGTTTCCATAGAAGCGACTCCTCTGGATTCCAGACACGTTACAATATATACCATAAAGAAACACACAGACTTTAGTTGACACATGTAAAGTTTATATAGAAGTAAATACGAAGAACACTAAGTATATATTGCTATCTCATCAGCAAAATGCAGGACAAAATCGTGATATAAAGGTAGGTAACAGGTGTTTTGAAAATGTGGCACAGTTCAGATATTTGGGAACGACTATAATAGATTAAAACCTGATTCAGGAGGAAATTAAAATATATTGAACTCGGGTAATGCTTGCTACCAATCAGTTCAGAACCTTTTGTCTTCTTGTCTGCTGTCTAAAAAAATGAAAATTAGAATATACAAAACTATTAATTTTGCCTGTGTTTCTTTATGGTTGTGAAACCTGGTATCTGACTTTAAGGGAGGAACATAGCCTGAGGGAGTTTGAGAACAGGGTGCTGAGGAGAATATTTGGTTCAAAGAGATATGAAGTGACAGGAGGTTGGAGAAAGCTCCATAATGAGGAGCTTCATAACTCGTACTCTTCTCCAAGTATAATTAGAATGATCAAGTCAAGGAGGATGAGATGGGCAGGGCATGTAACACGAATGGGGGAGACGAATTCATGTAGGATATTGGTGGGAAATCCAAAAGGAAGGAGACCACTTGGAAGACCAAGACATCAGTGGGTGAACAATATTAAAATGGATCTGAGAAAGATAGGATGGGATGGTATGGACTGGATTGATCTGGCTCAGGATAGGGACTATTGGAGGGCCATTGTGAACACAGTAATGAACCTTTGGGTTCCATAAAATGAACATTTATCTTTCACACTGTATGGCGTTAAAAATCTTTTATCCTGAAATAGAGCTGGGAAGGTACATATATCAGATGCATGTAAAAAAATAAAGAGTTATAAGGTGTTGCTAAGGAAGTATGGGATCTTGAGCAGGCTCTGCACTGAAGATGCACAACACACAGCATGCATGAGGCACAACATGCAATAAGACAAGATTCATTTGAGAGCTCTGTACTTTAAATTGATTGTCTAGATGAAAGCTTTTTCTAGTCATTCCACACAGATACCAGGTAGTACATCAAATTAGGCTGTGATCAGCTTTTCCCACGTCCCCTTGTAAAATGCTACATTTAACAGTTTCCTAGTATAGATTTGGTTTTAAATTAGTCAGATGAAGCTATGTAATCTCGGAGAATTAGCAAAACATATTTACATTCACTTACCAGCAAAGGAAGTAGAGATCATGTCAACATGTTTCGCATTAGATGGCCAGGAATAGTAGCAACTTCAGCAACTGAAATGTGTAATCTGTGATCCTAGCAGGAAGTTTCATCTCTTGGATTTTCATTTTAGGTTTATGAAAGCTGGTCATCATGTTCCGAGATATGAAGTCAACATTTGGACAGACTGGTACCGCTACAACATTTGGTATGTCCATGTTTTGCATGAAGTAATTATCAGACTTTCTCAGCTGTATATAATGAACACATCTTAGCATCTATATTTTTATCCATTAATTTTAGCAATCCATGTGCACTTCTCTTTTGACCATTAATTAATCTTAGGTATTGTACATACTATCTGGTAATGGATCCTAAAGGTTTAATCACGTGGTTTCATCAACCTCCCACCCTCACAACCTGTTTCTCTGCTGTATGATATTATTTCTTAATCCCTTTCATGATCTGCCAAATGGCTGCTATCCAAGATATAGGTAAGGTAAAGTTGTCCCTGTGTTCAATGAATTAAGCACTACGCCATGAAGGCGTATGGGGGAGTGGATGTGTAGATCCACATTTTCTTGACCTCAGCGCTATCTGGAGGTGAGTGGTCAGCTTCACGCCCCGGCCGCTTTACCACAGGTGAAAGAGCCCCCAGTACCCATTGGGTGGGAGGTTGGGTGGACCCCAGAGCCGGTCTGGATGATTTGTAGAAGAGACAACTCTTGACCATACTGAGACTCAAACTCTGACCTCTCAGTCGTCCAGCCCATACCCAGTCGCTATACTGACTGCGCTACCTCAGCTCCTCCAGGATACAGGTATAGGTATACTTTGTTTTATAAACACATGATATACACATTTTCTCTGCAACAAAATGTGATACTTTGTACCTTATTCTTCACACAATGAACTTAGTTTTCGCTACAACTTGTGCACTGTTCACTTTAAAATCTAATTAATTTTGTGAACTAAAATTTTTGGAGGACACTTACCAATGCTCCCAGAAGCGCTTGAGAGAGTGATATTTCTGGAAACATTCCCCTTTGTGAAGTGGCATTACACAGAACTTGCAAATGTAGACATACTCCTTTTTTTGTGAACTGTGTAAACACGGCATTGCCTAGAAGGACGCTTCCCCTTGGAATGTTCACTCTTCACAATTTTCACGAGGGTATGTTTCCGCATATCACCCAAGAGTCGCCCAGGGGGGTCCACATGAGGCCTGTTTGGGGTGGGAGTTGATGGGCCTGGTCACACTAAGTCTGTGTCTGATTCTGGTTCTGGTGCCACCATCTGGTCTGTAGCCCAGGCCTTTGCCACATTCATCAGAAATGCTTTGTATTTCAATTTTGAATCAAGGTTTCGATTTTTGTAAACCAAAAATGAATTGAGAATGGCACAATTTATAAGCCACAAGGCAACTTTCTTTGTCCACTTTATTGTTTTCCTAGGAAGAGAATAATAGACCAAGCATTGATTGGCTCTGTCAACTCCCTTCATGAACATATTATACTCAGAAATACAAATAGGCTTCTTTACTTGTCTGTGTCTACTTTGAACATCAACCATGCTCGAATTGTGAGTTGTTGTAATCATATTCACAACACGAGTATCCCTATCTCCAAAAAACAGTTCTGCTACTTCAGACACTTGCATTGGGTCCGATGGAATCTCTTTCACCCCTGGATTTCCAGTAAACTGTCCCAAAGTAGGCATTTTGTCTACTTTTCCCCATGTGGCTGTTCCCGCAATTTTACTACCTGCACTTTCGTCGGAGCTACTTTGTTGTCCCCTGTCACTGCCACTGTCTCACTTTCACTACTCCTCTCAGCTGGAACGTCAGATAGCTCATCGGAGAACAAGTCAGATATTTCTTGTTCTCTGAGAGATCGGTACGTCTTCAACCGCTTCTGTCCTTGATTCATATTGCACTAACTTCCTGCCTGGTACATAAGAGCTTGAAGGGTCAAAGATCATTTTCCTTTGGAGGGGGAACCAAAGCAGCAAGGTCAAGTTACTGCCTACTAAGCAAACATTCCGGAGTAATATTATTCAGTAGTCATTCATTTGGGTGGCTCCAGAGGAAGGTATAGTGTGTTACAAACTAACATGTCCTAAAATCATGATATGAGACTGGTCCGCCATGTTTACAAGCCAAAAGCATGATATCATGCAAGCAGTCCTCAATGTGTTAATAAACTGGATGCCATACCATAATAGCCTTCATTTAATTTCTCTAGCAGTTCTACTCTTAAGTTGCCTGTATAAATATGGATGTATTGCCCACCAGTCTGTATGTACTTAAGCCCCAAAGCTTCAGATATTTTGCTGGATACTTTGTTTTCCAATATTTGTATTCTTTCTTGGAAGCAATAGACATTTTTTTTGCAGCCACACAATACACTTATTAAAATGATAGGTTTACTTGTATTTTGAAGAAAGCAGTCTTCTGGGATTTGGCGCCGTGTATGGGGGCGATACGTTCCTCCGAAACGTCGGTTAACACCACATATACACGGCGCCAAATCCCAGAAGACTGCTTTCTTCATAATCACCGCCGTGAAAGCCTCAAATCTTACATACTTGTATTTTGTTTAATATTTAGTGTTCATGAAAGTACATTGCATAGAAAGTTTCTCTCACTTGTTCAGTCTTATGCTTTGTAGTACATAATACCAATTCTTTCTAGGTGGAGGTAGTTTTAGTGGTGGAGCTGCAACAAGTCCATTTGGGCAAACCTTTGGAAAGAACACAACCACAGGATTTACAGCACCCGCTTTTGGATCAACTGGTTCATCTCTGTTTGGTAGTAGCACCCCTACTACTGGCGGCCTGTTTGGAGGAGCTACAGCTACTCCAGTATTCGGACAGACTCAAACTACACAGTCATCAGCATTTGGTAAAAATTCAAAATTCAGAAAATAAGCATTGTCTTCCTGTGTTGGTTGTGAGGTTCTCACAGCAGTGGCTATGAAGAGTTCTGTCATCTGGGACATAATGCTGTGTAGTCGGGTGAAAGTCAACTGATGATTCAGAGAAACACATGTTCTCTATCTTCAGGTTCAAATAGCCAAGCAGGAAACAAGCATATGGTTGCCTGGATTCTTCCTCAGCTTACTCTTCGTCCCTGAAGACAGAGATATGTTCCTCCGATATGTTGGATGGCTTTCACCAGACTATATGGTGTTATATCACAGAAGATGAAACTCTTCAGTATCATACTGCATATACCTATTATACATATAAACTCCTCTGAAGGAAGGTGTGATCTAAGTAGATATTTCCATTTTTGTTACAACATAGAATGTTAGAGAATGTGTGACATAAATATACAATAATATTAGTGTAATGTACGAGTTGCACGTGGCTTTCCAAGTACCGTATATTTATGATTACATAACAAAACTGTGCAGGCAACCAGCAAGGGTTAGACAAAATAATGAAAATGCAAATGTTGGCGATGTTGGAAAATGTGAAACCCAACACAGAAAATATAAGAGGCTTAAGCTTGGTGGTAGTGAAGCATGCAACCATTCAAGTGACTGGGCAGCTGTTGGAACATGAGCTGCATAAGTTAGGGGATGATGTGCCATGCCAAGCTGTGTGTATAGTGTACATACATATTGTGGCTTATCTTCTGAATGCTTGAATTAAGAAACCAGCAGAGATAGCCATTGTTAGGGAATAGCTTCGTAAGCATGCAACAGTACCAGAGCCGTTGCCAAGTAATGTGCCCCTGCAACAATAGAGGAAGAACTGGAAGTGGTGTTTTCTGTGCAGCCCATGGTGAGGCTATATAATGAGGATCAGGTGCCATTACAGAAGAGTCCAGAGATGACAGTTAGAAAAGTAGGAGGTTAATGTGAGATGGATGGCAACCTATGCGGACATGAGCCCAGAAGCAGAGGAACGTCTTCTGTTGGAAGATGTTACCAAGCAGTGCAGTGAAGAGCATGACTGAGAACGCTAGTCTTTGTGTGACAGTGACCTGTAAAGTGTAGTCACAAGCTGTATGTTAAAGTACCCAATTAGTTTGATTACCAGTCCAAACCTCGTCTGTAGTCTCTCTGTCATGTGACAGTATATACTGGAGTTACATGGACATAAATCTGGTCATCAATCCCCCCCCCTGTAGTCACACTCCATAAATGTGACAATATATATTTATTTTTCCTAATTTTTTATAGGTTTTCCTTCGAGTACCACAGGCAGTAATTTATTTGGTAGTCAGCCGAATGCAAACACAAGTTTATTTGGTACCAGCGGTACTTCTGCATTTGGTGCAAACAAACCTGCATTTGGAGGGTTTGGAACTTCTACTGGAAGTGGACTGTTTGGGCAACAGCAACAGCAGCAGCAGACACAGGCTACCCCATCCCTGTTTGGTCAGTCTGCAGGCACAACAAGCACTGGGATCTTTGGTTCAGGAGGTTGGCATATTATTGTGTTTCTATTATTTGTTTGTAGATTGTATTAAATGTTCATAGTTTGTTATATCCATCAGTCACTGAAGAACCATATAAATCTTACATTCCCTGACTTAACATTTATGAAAAGATTAAAAAATATTGCATGGAATTCTGGAAGTACACCTGAAGATTGGCGGTAATGCACAGACATTACATATATTTAGAAAAGGAAATAACAGTGCCAGTATTTGCTCCCTGTCAACAGCCCTAAAATACAGTTATTCTCAAAGGAATAAGTACAACTGATAGCTGAAAATATTGTAGATGAAAATCATTGTGGTTTTGTGTAAAGGCAGGTTGCATATTGATATAGTATTAACAATAAAACAAACTATGGAGAAAAGGAGGGAATATGATGAATCCTTGTATTTGCTGTTTGTAGCGTAAATGATACAGTTATGTGAGATAGTGTAGAGTTAGCTATGATGTACCAAAGAACTTACTATGTGCAATACAGTTCTTCTGTAGAACAAGAATGACAATATCAACAGATTCTCTGCCAAATTCATTATATTTTTATAGCTGAACAGAGTTTTAGAACAAGGTTTTGAATTATTCCCATTGCTTTTAGAATTATATGTAAGGTGCTAGAAATATGGAAAAACCTAAATCCAAAAGGGTTCATAGTGAGTAAACCTTGTGTTCTTCAAACTGTGCTTTTTGCTGGTGATCAGATACATATACTGGATATTGTAGATGACTTAACAATCACATGTACCAAAATTTAATGAAGTACTAGAAAGATACCATATTATGGTTTGTACAGTGAAAAAGAAAGTAATAGAAATGTGCAGTAGTGAAAGAAAAAGTGATAATAAGTGGGGATTTACTAGAACAAGTTTGACACTTTAAACTTGAGTGATAAAGCTCATCACTGTGTGAAATGAATAATGTGGAGGAGAATATACAGACATGTAATAAATGCCCATAGTATTCAGCTATACATTATATGGAAACAAGTTATGGAAAATAAATGTGAGGAAGTACAGCAAGGAGTACGTAGCATAGTGTGTAAACCACAGCCCAGAAATGTTGAAATGAATCATGGATACTGTGAATTGAAGTTAGGAAACGTTTATAGGCATTCTGTACATTTTTGGGGTCAGTATATGGAGTGATACGAGGAGATAAATTTAGAAGTGTTAAATTAATTTTTTGCCTTGTTCTGAATGATTTCAGCCACACGTTATTCAGTTGAAATTTTTTTACATGAAGTGTATGTGCAGTTTCTTTGGCTTTTGTCTGAAGCACCTCTCTGGCAACAACAGTGTCCATTTCTGAAGATATTGTAGAATAATACACTTTCATTGTCTGTTTTTCATAATCCTTTGGTCCTTTCTTATGACAGTTCTTCCAAGTCTTTAGACTTTCTTCTCAGGTTTTTTGTTAATGTTTGCAGTTCTCAGTTGTCAGAAATTCTGTATAGGCAATATAGAAACACTGGAAGACATACAGAAGCATAGAACAAAAGATACAGGATAGACTTGTGGCAAGTTTGCACGGGGTTGGCCACTTCAAAATGCTCGCAGCCAACAAGGAAAGACACATCACAAAACACAGTATACACAATATAGGAAAAACGACTCCCACAGTGGAAGAATCATACAATACGCGAGCTTGAATTAAGACATAAGATGATAAACCTTAGCAAGTTTTAGTGTATACAAATTTTATTATAGTTGATGAAGAATTAACATTTTAAATAATTTTATGAACAACGCATGATGCAAGCAATGCAATAGCTTAGTGTAAACAACACACCTGAGAATGGCACTGTGATGCCGAAACATGTAGTGAAGTGACATGTGAGATATAGTGCTCTACAAGGCGGCCAATACATACATATCATGGACGAGAATCAGTGCAACAGGATGCTAAAATACAACATTACTTCTAAATGAGTCTGTTTTTGCTGTTTCCAAGAAATTATGGCCAAATAGAGCAGATGGTCAATTTCGCAGTTAGCCCATCAAGGGCACAGTAGGCCTGCTGAATGATGGTGAAGGCAAAATCTTGCTGTTGTGTCGCAATTTTGAGACTGAAAATCAAAAGACATTGCCTAAATGTGTCAAGACTTGCGAAAAAGCGTTTTACAGCAAAGATGACAACACAGGGACTAGGGATCTAGGTTAAGAATGTTGATGATCAGCATTTATGCATAATCGCATAAGTAGGAAGCTCCGCTAACTGGGCCACGGGAGTATAATGAATTTATCAAATACACAGCGATGAGGTACCATGGACCCACCCTCCACCCCAAAATGTAGAACAAGGGGAGTAGTTAACCTCGCTCTTTCGCCAGCTGCTGCGCCAGCAAAATTAGTGTATAAAAATGAGAAAAAAACTCAATGGGGATTTGATCTAAAAACGTAATATTCAGCCGGAGGCTCTATTCGACATGGGTCTTACAAGTGCTGGTGTCTGGCCTGCGTCTCTATTAAAGTAAGTAATGTTTGCTCATATAAGCCATGCTGTTAACCTTTATTGTAGGTAAACGGTTGTTTGTTAAAATGTGGAAAAGCTCTTTTCAGTGTGCCCGGCGAGCCCTTAGGGTAGAATACGAAAAATAATGTAACGAGTGATGACTGAGGTGCTAGTGTAGTAAGTTGGTAGACGTTCGACAGTGTGTTATGATAACTAGTAGTGTGCAGAGCACGCCCATTTGTTATTCATAGTTGTGACCGTTGATTTGTGATAAACACATACGTAGGCTGTAGATACGAGGGGGTACGCAAAAGAGACCGAACTTATTTTTTTTTAAACTTATTTATTCAAATTTTAAGCACAAACCTTCAATCCCCTTCAAAGTACTCTCCACTTACACTAATACACTTGTCTAGTCTTTTATTCCATTTTTCAAAACATTGTCTAAATTCATCTTTTG